ACACTGACAGGTGGCTACAAAATACCCACGTTTGGAGGCTAAAAAGCCGCTGGAATCACAGCAATGACTCACTAAAACACACCTTGTTTTGTTGGTCTTGAACAGTGGTCTGCAGCATCTCGTCTAGGTAATGCACCATCCAACATTCCCTAAACCTCCCAATTACAAAGTCAACTTATCTATTACGTCACTTAAAAAAATGCTGAAATGTATTAAATGTGCAAATGTAATGTAGGCTATTGGTGGTGGTAGTTTGCAGAAACTTACAATGCCAACATTTTCTTCTGGTGACTAGGCAGGAAAATGTATTGTTTTGGTATCAAAACTCTTTTGTATTGACAATGGTATTGCATATCTGTGAACGATACCAAGCCTGACTTGTTTCCAATATATCAGTCTCACTCTTACTACAGTGATCTTTTTGTTTCATATGTCCTCATAATATGTATGGTCTTACATTCATATGTTGTTTTTAGCAACTATACTGCTAGAATAATTAGATATGGACAGAAATGCTGCAAGAAATGGCTCCCTTGTTATTCCCTTTTGTTACAGATTGATGGAAAGAAAGATATGAAAGGAAAAGACAAGCTACCATCTTGCCACTCACTCTTGTTAATTTTGAACAAATTTGTTACTGGCTCCAGCCCAATCTTTTAATCTTCCTGCATTCCCCAGAGCCCACTGGACGCCTCTGGTACATCTAAATTACAGCGAGAAATGCTGTCATGCTGCCGGTTTAACTTGAACTGTTTGTAAAAGATGTCAAGTATGGAAAGAGGTTAAAAAAGGGTCAAATACACACATGATGTTTAGTTCTAAGAAAACAACAGCAGTGTGGTGAGTGACTCAGAGATGACCAGAAAGTCTGATGTTTAGCAGTTGGCAGGGTTTGAGTCCCCCAGAAATCTAGCAGTGCTTCAGAGAGTGTTTTATCTCCACTGGTGTGTCATCTGACACTGATCATTAGGCAACAGACTCTAACCCGGGACTTACTCAGATGTTATTTCAATCCCTGACTGACAAACAGACACACAGTGAGAAAAATACTAGCTGCAGATCTGTTCCCATGGTAACATGGAACATTAGATCTCAGCACTGTTTCCCAGTGTGAACATTGTTCAGCTCGCCTAAAGCTGTGGTTGGTAACTTTTATAAAAAAGAAGTTTTTGTCATATTTGATCAAACTGTCATTATATCCTGACAGTAGTACATGAGACAGATAGTCTGTGAAAAAAAATATGTTCCTCTGCCTCCTCATAGTGATCCTAATAGCATGTGCAAGAATCCACCACGCCTGAAGGAAAACAACCAATCAGAGCTGACAAGTCTGTAACGCAGCTGTCAATCACGTCAATCACAGCTCGTAAACTGCAGGCAACTCCGGAGAGATATTTTAGTGTACTGTTTGGCTGTAAAATGAGAGCATTTGCCACTGGGTGGTTCTTGGTTTTGGCTCGACTGTTTTCAACATGGCAGCCAGGTTACAACTTTCTCATTTCATCCTCAGCATAAATGCTCAATAAGGCCTGGACGTCACCATCAGCCCATCTGCTTTATGCTTTCTTGTGTAACTCCATATTGATGTTTCGAAGTACAACAAACAAACAAAAAAGGTTGATGGCATAATGTGAGTCTTTGCTGCGAATAATCAAATAATCAGAAATGTTCAGCACGCCAACCCCCACCCACAAAGTTCCTGTACTTTCGGAATGTGAGTACTACTCTCCGATCATCTCGTACCTGAACGTTCTTGCGGTCAAAAAGGGCCTATTGACTGAGGATGAAGATCTCTGTAGATCTAGTAAACACCTCCACACACATACTGTATGTGCTGGCAGACAGTAATGCTTACACACACGTACATAACTCACACACACAGGCTCTGCATCAGCCTCCAAAACATCCTTTTTTGTTATAAATGGAGATGGGGAATACAAAAATACAGTAGAAATGTTTTCTCTCTAAAAGACCTGAAACAGCTGAATGCTTGAGTAACCAGGTAAGAGAGAGAAAGTCAAATCTCCCTGAGCCATGCTATGGAAAAGCTCGCTCTTAAGTGGCACAGCAGCATGATATAAAAGAGGATATGTTGTGTGTGAGTGGGCGATTTGCTCAGATTTAACTGGAGAGGCTGGGAAGAAAAACTGTCTTTTTCCAAATACTTTGGCAATCTCCTCCATATTCTGTGGCTCTGCTTTCATTCTCAAATCTGGGCCTAACAAAGAGGTATGCATTTAATGTATTATTGCTTATCATGGGGGCGCAGTCTTTCTTTATCACCTTCAAATTAAACCCTGAGTAGTGGTGGCATAAGAGGAGCCGGTATTTCATTATTTTCCAATTTGAGAGTTAATAGGAAAGGTTGGTGAGGTGGTATACTGAGGGAGTCTTCTTCTGATGTTCTGACTCTCGGTGTACAAGTTAACTAGTCAATCACTTAAATAATTATCCACATATAAAGTAGCAGCAAGCCAACAGAGCAGCTGGTGATACCTAACTTGCTTTGCCCAGGGGCCACTTTTGCAAAATGACAGGAGGTGTACGCAGGGGCGTTTCTAGGATTTGTGGACATTTGGGGCTAAGCCTGGATCTCTGTTGAGGGGTCCATGGGATCCTCATCTCGCACTGTTGTTATTAATTGGTTTGTTAATACACTCTGGCAACTTATTTACATTCAAAGTAATATCAATTTATCAATTTATTTTCTTTGTGAATTAGGAAATGGTTGATGGGCCACCCGACACCCTAAACTACAGCCTGTGGAACAGATTACTTTAGATTAGGTAAACCGAGAATCACTGAAGTGTTCATTCAACAATTTAATCTGACCTGTGATATTAATGTAAAACAGAAAAGGACCATTTGTTCTGCCTTTGTCTCTCAATTATGAATTACTTATTAAATATCAGGGAAATGAGAGGAATGATTTTGAAGGCTTGTTATTTCATAAAGTACTGAGTATTCTGTGTGTTTGCACATGGTGTGTTTAGGCAGGATACATTGTTTGTGGCATCAAGTTACTTTTGCCTTAGAAGGTATTTTTTTGTCCGCTATAAAAGGCCTATTATTTCAGTGGATGAAAGAGTAATCTTCATCAGTTCTTTGATGCTTCTATGAGATCTCAAATATCTCACAATGTACAGATTTGAAGCTACATTTAATAGCAAAGACACAGATCTTAGAACAACTTATCACTTTCTTGCCACCATATTAAAAACAGGGTCAGATAAAAGGTCAGATAAAACAGAATCACTGACATGACATGAGGCATATTCACACTGTATTAAAATGTGATGTTGACCTAATGTGTGTTAGGGTACTTCATAAGAAAAAAGAAAGCTTTTTTAGATATTTTTGGGGGCTTTATTGTCTTTATTTGATATTTGAAATACAGAGTTTTTAAAGCCTGTTTTGTGTTGTTTTGGTTTTACTGGATCACCATAATTTAGAAAAGCTAAAAGATATTTTATAAAAACGCAGCACTTTGTCTCATACTAAAAACCTCCCACAGTTGCCTGTAAAATATCCCGAGTAAAACTAAGCCATTATTCCTGGAAAGAGACAAGACATTTGACATTTAAGTTTTTCAAATGTCATCTTCAGTTCTGCCAGCACAAACACTGAAATTCCACTCACTGCCAGTGTGAGTTGGCATCGCAAGTCTGAGTGGCCAATATCTCCAAAAATCTGCAAATAAAACTCTAAAATCTACACTTTGAACCACATGGCTAGTTAGCAATAGCGTTAAGTGAAAATGCAGTGTGGGGGAATTGACCTTTTAACAGCCGGTGCCATCTCTGAGCAGCACCTCTGGCCCTGACTGAGCAAGTGGAGTTCAAATAAGTCTCAGGTGCATTTACATCTCAATTTTGTAGACATCTGCTTTATGGAGAGAAAGTTTTTTTTCATTTATATGTATGTTAGCTGTATGTATATAAAAGTAAATGTGTTTTTAAAAACTTGGCAAAAATATAAACCAATGCAAACTTGACTTTCATGGCCTCCTCCAAAGTTTAAATCAAAATGAAATGCAAATGACAAACAGTGACGCCTCCAGGTTGGCAGTGGTTGAGGTTTATGCAGCAAGAAAGCTCGGTAAAGCACCTTAAAAAAGCATTAATGAAATGCATTCCTTTAGTAAAACCTCTCAGTTAATTAATACTTTAAATCCTACAAAATAAAGCTAAAATAATGTCAAAAGGGGAATCAGAAAGATACACAGCTTTTTGTTGTCAATATTATGTTAAAATAATTAAAAACCTGTCTCTTTGCTGATTTACAAGAATGTCTTGTCCTCCGTCAGAGCTGTCGTCAAAGAAATATGACTGAAATATGTAAAAGTCTTTGGTCCTATTTTTGTTTCCCTCGGATGGCTGTGAAGACACGGAGATCATATATTATTTATTTGTGCCGACTATGAAACGTCCCCTATGGATCATGTTCGAGGTTGAAGACCTCGGGGCTCAACGCTCCATGAATGAATAAAAAGTTTCCTCCTTGATGCAAGGAAACAGCCGCGGTGAGCGCGCTGTGGCGGCGCGGCGCAGCGCTGCGGTCCACCGTGCGCTCCGGCTGCGTGTTTTGGGGACGTGACAACGGTTATAGGGCCTGAATGCCATTACATCGATTATTTAAAAACAACATAGTGACATATAGAAAGTGCCGCCAGAACAACAAACCCCCCAGAGGTAACCAAAATAACGCCAGACGCATTAACATGACGGCCATGTCTTACGCAACACAGCTGCTGTTTTTAGTGATGATCGCTTACAAACAGTCTGATGAAATCTTCCACACACTGATCTTCTCGTAAACTGGCTCACACAGTACTGCGTTATTAATGTGATGAATAAAGCCAAATGGAGACTGGACTGTGAGTCAGAGCACCCAGAGACACTCAGTCTGCCTCAGTTGTGGTGTTTATGGTTTATTTGATTATAAGGAATAAAAAAAAACACTCTTACAGGTTGGGTAATAACACAGCATCAGTGTCTTACCGTCAGCGGCCAAGGAGCTCTGCAGCATCAGCATCAGCACCGCGCCGATGGTCACAAACCACCGGGCCAGCATCCCATCCAGCGCTCGCGTCCTCTTCCCGTTCCTCGGCGAACAGACGGCCACCATCCCCGCATCCAGGATCCATGCCGTCGGAGAAGAAGAGACGGGGTCTCCTTTACTCTTCACCCCTCCAACCCCGGGGCCACTGCTGCCGCTGCTGGAGAGGAGCGCATGTTTTGGAGCCATTGGTCAACCAATTAATCCTGAATGGAAAACATCTAACGGCGCTGCTGTGGTGAAAGGCATCCGATCAACCTGCCCCCGGTGCGGACAAGCAGGGCTCCGCTCTCCATGAGCCTGCTGGAGGCTGTGGGGATCGATACGAAAACAAAGAGGTTTTTATTTTACCTTTTGCGCGTCTCACTGTCTCTGTTTCTGTGTGTAGCCTACGCGCGCTGTGTGTGGAGTCTGAAGTCCCTACTGCGACCGCAAAGCGCTCTCCATCTCTGCTGGCAACTGCATCAATACACAGATACAGAACCGGAAAACTGCTAATGCGGCCTTCAAAATAAAAGCGTTCAATCTGTCTGGAAGTGGCCTACATTTGGCATGGTGTGATTAAAGGTGCACTGCACTGATTTTGCAGTTAACTCTAGCTGACATAGGTAGCCTAAACTCAGCCTATGAAACCGTTGCATAGTCCTCTGTGGCTCTGGGCAGCTTTAAATCTGAGGAGACTGTGATTATGTCAATGGGATTATGTAGGTATTGAGACTAGACATTTGGGGCATGAAGTTTGAAAGACAGAAGTTTTTCCATGACCCAACACTGGGATTTGAAGCCAATTTAACATAGCAAAACCATGGAATTACACAGAATTCCAGGTCCGTCACGTGATGCCACTAGGCCCCAAAAGCCTTTTCCCATAGACTATATAGAGACATCTGTAAATCGGTGATTGTATTTTTTTGGCCATCACAACCCCTGCAAAATGACTTGTTTCACTATCAGGATTTAATCCTTTCGGTGCCATAACATTCTGAAAGCCTGTAAGAGCTGCACGATTCAATCATTTTATCCCCATTCATGTTAGAGGAGGGTTGAACTGAAAGTTAGCCGCTCAGCCGGCAAGAGTGTCTAGTGCACTTACTCTATAGGCACAATGATGTGGAAGATCCAGGTAATTTTATACCCAAGAAGCCTAACTTCTTTGGCTTCATGCATGGATGTATAAAGAGAATTGGATGTAGTGTTGGATGTGGGGCCCTGTTTCGTCTTATGAAAGTTGCTCAGTGGCGCATGAAGCCAAAAACGTTCCACTGCCGCATATAAAATTACCCGTATGATTAACACTGCTGCCGCATGATTGGGCCCATAGAGCAAGCGCACTAGAGAGTCTTCTGCCAGCCGATCCAGCTACTTCCAGTTTAGCACTCCACTTAGGCTACATGAATAGGGATAAATGATTCAACTGTGCAGCTCCTCTAGGTTTTCAAAATGTTATCAGACTAAATGGATCAAATTCCGAAAGTGAAACGAGTCATTTCATGCTGGTTGTGTCACTCAGAAAAATGTATTCACTGATTTAAAGACGTCTCTTTCCCAATAAAAGTCCAATAAAAGTCCATGGGAAAGAGTCTTTTTGGGCCCCAAGGCATCATCATGGCATCAAAGCCTGGGTATAGCTGCGGCTTGAGCAGCTACATGACCTGCCCATCATATCTACATGTCTTCACCAATCAGCCCCCTTTGCCCCTTGACCCGGAAGCACTAGTCCCAACAAAAATGCTAAGCAATTAGCTAGTTATTAAGTATTAGGTTAAACAAGAGGTAGTTCAGGTTTGAGTAAGGGTAATGGTTTGGGTTACATCTCTTTATTTATAAAGTGAATCACGTCTTCATGAATAATGAATTATAAAGCAGATCATTGCTATGTTTGGCCTCATGTTTATTCATTACAGTGTCGTGTTGTAGCACAGTTCAGATAACTATTGCACTGGTGGATTGGTTTTGTATTAGTGGTGGCGGGCAAGGTTTGTAGGGGTGTGTTGTGTACAAGTTAAATGTGTCTGCAGCTATACATGTCTCTCAAAGCCTGGCGCATTTTCTGCGTTTTCCCAAGCCCCCAGGAACAGTGCCAGGCTTTAGAGACAATTTGATATAGTGGCTAAAGTGTGGAATTACGATTTCCGAGTCTGTCACGTGATGCCATTGGACCCAAAAAGGCTCTTCCTTCAGACTTACTTCGTGAAAGAGACATTTGTAAATCAGAGGATACATTTTTTTGAGTGTCATAACCCCTGCAAATGACTTAATTCACCATCGGGATTTGATCCATTCAGTCCAATTACACTGGGAAAATCAGAAGAGCCGCACATTTAAATCATTTTATCCCCGTTCAGGTTAGTGGAGGGCTGAAATGAAAGTGAGCCACTGAGTCGGAGGAGTCCCTAATGCGCTTGCTCTATGGGTCCAACGTTGTGAAAGATCCCGGTAATTTTATACCTGGGACGTCAAATTTTTTTGGCTTTGTGTGCTACTGAGTACCTTTCATAGGAAATTAACCAGGCCCCACCTCCAACACTGTATCCAGGTCTCTACATCCATGACTTTTTCAGGCAGGGAGGCTGCATTATGGGGTATGTAGGGTCCGGGGACTAAAAGTCAGAATATCTCCTTTATATAATTTAGTTTCATTCTGTCTTGATGCTCATGAAGTTAAAAGTAGGGTAAACTTAATGAGCTCAGCTGACTGACAGGCCCATGGATCCTACTCAGATGTTTTATAGGCCTGTAGGCCCCAATAGTATGATGTCATTACCTGATCCTGCCAATGCCAACTGGAGTATTAATCCCAACTATGGGCTAAAATCAGGATTAGTTTATAAAATATTGTTTGATCTGGGTATTTAGTGGGAAGCTTTATCCTGAGGTAAAATAAGGTAAATATGTCAGACCACTAGCATTTTGCACTGAATAAATGTTTGTAAACTGACTAACTAAACCCTCTTAACATAAATTCTGTGGCACCTTTTTTCTGGCTGACCAAGGTTAGCTCACAGGAGCTCACAGCCTTTGAGGACAGCTACATTCAAGTTGTCTTTAGCATCCATTTTACAGCTAGAGAATCAATTTTATATGTTTTTACTCTGTGTATTATACATTTGTCTGTTCTGTTAATCACATTAATTAGCCTACCTTGTGATAAATTCATACACTTTAGTTGTTTATGGGTGAACTGCCTCACTTCCGGTGTTGTTTTGGCTAACCGTGTTTAGCTTGACGCAGTTCAGCAGGTAGAAACCAACAGCCTGCGTGTTTGGTGTAATTACGGTGAAAACGATAGAAACAGACTGGTCATAAAGGCCCGACTAATTAGCTCCCACACCTCTATAAACGGACACGAGAGATAAGACTCGTGTCTTTTTCTGTCCTCTGTAACGGAGCGTACATGGAGCCCTCCGCACCTCACATTAAGGCAGGCAGTGACGCCAGCGCTGCTCTGCTCTAAGATGTGTTGTGGCAGATCTGAGTTCAGCAGGAGGCAGGCGGCCCCTGGTGGGAGCTGAGGGCACAGTCATCCTGCCAGTAAACACTCACAAAAGTAGGCAGCCACATCGGGGAAATACACTCATCATTAGACCTGTTCCCATTGAGTCCAATTTACTGTAAAAGAAATAATGGTGAAATCATTATTTTGCCACTGAAACACTCCCTGTGGCCATAAATGTGTAAACACTGTGTTATGTCATCAAAATGCATTAGCCTAAACCTGCACAGAGGGAGGCTTATGAGAAGTTATTTGAATTTCAAATTAGGGAACTAACTTTTGCGGACACCAAATGCTATGGAAGAACATTAGGGTCAGGCGTAAGGGGAAAATGAAATGTCAAGAATAAAGTCATCTCCTCAGTTCCATCAAATTGTGTCTTTTGATACAACAAATTCGCTCAATAGCCGACTGCATGCAGGTGTAACCACTGATACCCTTGCATCTGACTATTCAGCCCATTCTCATTCCTCAATCTTCAAAGACCACCCCTTTGTCAGTGATTTCAGCGTCAGACACCAGTGCAAAAGGTATCTTTCATGGCAGTATGATACACCACAGAGCAGTGTGTTTTGATGCTGGATGGTGCCATGGTAAAACAATATTGGGTGCTGAAAAGTCTCTATAGGGCAGGCAGGAAGGGAAATAGATGGGTCCAACAAACACAGGACTTTCTCACAGGAGCCCGGTTTTCGCTTGCCGTGTGAATGTTGAGCCAGACCATGATACTTTTTTCTAAACCTATCCACACGCTTTTGTTGCACAAGGAAATGAACATAAATATGAAGTGTTTTACCAAAGTTTATTTTGACTGTATGCATTTAAGAAGCAGGAACTGTAGGCTACATGTCCTGTGAAAACAAAGGTGTATTTTGAAGAGACACAATGCATATAACAAGACCAATGGAATACTGGAATGTCAACAACAGAAGCAGGAGGAAACCTACAGTAGCATGTCATATTTAGAAGTGAAAGTCCACTGAATAAACTGTGATGTTCAATGAGTTGGGATGAGAACATGTTGGTCCATTACATATCTGGGGGCGGCAGTAGCTCAGTCCATAGGGACTTGGGATGGGAACCGGAGGGTCGCCTTCAAGTCCCAGTCAGGACCAAAAATATGGAGCGTGAACTGGTAGCTGGAGAGGTACCAGTTCACCTCCTGGGCACTGCCGAGGTGCCCCTGAGCAAGGCACCGAACCCCCCAACTGCTCAGAGCGCCTGTCATGGGCAGCCCACTCTGACATCTCTCCACTTAGTGCATGTATAGGTCCAGTTTGTGCATGTGTGTGTTCGGACCTGTGTGTAATTGACAACAGAGTGAAAAATTGAATTTCCCCTTGGGGATTAATAAAGTATATATATATATAAAAAAAAAAAAAAAAAAAAAAATTCAGTCTGCACGAATGCAGCCACCTCATCTAAGCTTGTGGTACCTCCTTTTGAACAGATGCCGTTTTCAGCACAATTTCTTCAAAGTCCAGATATTTATTACCACACTGTGTTTATGCTCTAAAGAAGAATGTCCTTGTTACCAAAACTGATTCTGAAGTACAATTTCATCAGGTAGCCACATGTGCTAAAGCCAGACTCATCCTCAAAAGTTTGACTTTAATCTTGAAATGTCAAGTCTATTCTTGACTTTATGACTTTACCCTCAAAATGCAAAAGAAAAATCTTCCTCCCCTCATTACTGGGTATAGTTCTAATACTCTTCCATACTTCACTGTAAGGTTGGATCGTCCTCATCTCACCACAGGCTTTATTTTAGAGTGTACTAATAAGATATGATAAGCTACATCAAATTAGACAAAGAATGTATTTAGTTATGTACAATACTTATCTATATTAATGAGATTTATATTTGGGTGTAAAGCCTGCTTGTTGTTACCCACCCAGAACTATTAATAGGTGCGTAAGGCCCAAAGGGGCTGAGTTGTCTCATCTCTCATGTCCGTTTTTAGAGGGGGGGAGCTAATTAGTCAGGCTGTTATGACCAGACGTAGATGCTAGAAAGAACCATAGGCTGTAAATATAATGGACATAGCTACCATGACGACGCCCATTGATTTTCTGACTCCTGTTTTGAAGCCGCGAGTTCGTCATTTCAGCTGTCACCATCTTGGTTTTTTTGGAGCCAGCAGTGACCATATTTGGGCAAGAGGCTGGAGCTGTAGAGGAGTGATGGTGGATCTAACTAAGAAGCCAAGAATAGCAGCCCCCACTTTAATTATGGGTAACTTTACACCTTAATAAAATGTAAACAGGCGAGTTATAAAAAGATTCACCTGTCATGAACGGGGAATCGTTTTTTGTACCAGGCTGTGAACATGTTTATTTCTGCTGTAAAGTTGGGCATTTAAACATGGGGGTCTTTGGGGATTAACTGGTTTCTAGAGCCATTCAAAGAACTGCAGTTTTTGGCACTTTGGCGTTGGCTTTATTTTTCAGTTCAGAGGTTTCTTTTTGAAAAGTACCCACCAAACTATGAGAGTGTATCACACAGTGCTGCTCTTGGCTGGTACATGTCGGGTCACAACGTATCCTCATACAAAGGTTTGTATGATATCCTACAAATTAGCACCCCACGAATAACATTATGTAATATGTCATGTAATTAACATAAAGTTACTATGGTTAGGTTTAGGAAAAGAAACATAGTGAGGACATATCTTAAAATGACTCAAAGGTCACTCAAAGTTCACACAGTTCTGAACACTGCTGTCCTGGGGAAATCCCCAAGGGAATGTTTTGTGTTTTACGACCCATCCACCACCACAACCTACCTCCTAACTGGGCCGCTCGGGACCGTCTCATTCTTTACTACCATCAGTGCAATGGTCACATGACCGCAGCCTTCCAAAACACTTGGGTTATGCACAAATTACCGTCTCATCATTACTTGGGATATGTATGAATTTTGGTCCAATACTTTTTGTAGAAAAACGTATGAAGAGAACCGCCTGTATGTCAATGAGTCAAGGTCTGAGGGTGTTAGGACTAGGGCAAAGAGGTCATGGTTAGGGTTAGTACTCACCAGCTGCAGCATAGTAGGAGTAGTAGGACTGGCTGTTTGGTGGATACATTAGCATTATTTCCAGAGAACAGGCAGGGGTATGTTTGTGCATGACACAGACAGATGTCAGTTTACTACTACAATTACCTTAGCATGAGTCTTATATTACACTCCGAGATTAACAGATATTTTGCTACTACTGAGTCATAGATCACTGTAAAATATTTGCTCATTGACAGGCAGAAGAACAACGAGGTGGCTGTGAAACACCAGCCTCAAGCAAACTGCAATACACAAGCAGTCAGTCAATTGAATACCATCTTGAGATGGGATCACTCCAGCTGTGGCAGAGCGACCCGCAACTTAGAACAAACCCACAGGTGTAAAGTCGGGGGGTCAGTGGTCTCTTTCCTTCTTCCTACCCTCCTACTTCCTGCCCCCTTGCTCTAGTGATGAGCAGTGATTCTTTAGCATCAGCTCCTTCAAGTTGATACATTTAAATGTTTCGAACCTCTCAGGTTTTATACACTCTGTTATAGTACATGCATGTTCATCAGCTAGTGCTGGCTGCACCTCAGAATCTCTCCTTAATACATTACCAGTCATCATGTATACATTTATATTAATAAAGATAAAATATTCATTTTATTCACTGATTCAGCGTCCCACTTGTAGGTCATCGTGGTGACAAAAATCTGTCCACAAACAGACAGACATATAAACACCTAGTAAATTATTCAAAATTTTGTGTGGTGGTTCTCACTACAATAGGTGTCATCCAAATCATATTTTGGTAACACACACAGACTCACAAGATGAAAACAATACCAGTCTTTGTGACACTGTCATTGCTGGTAATAAATGCATTTGTCAAATACCACGTGTGTTTATTTGACTCATTGTTCTAATATATTCAAATCTGCATTTCAGTTAGCTGTTTTTGTCTAGTATTACCATTTACTATTAACTAGAGATAGTAGCCTAACCTGTCGTTACACCAATACAGCTTTAATATCTGTTTTGGGTTAGATATGTCATGCTTTTCCTTGCAAATTCATGACTTGACGACTTTGATCTCTGACATTCTGAGTATTTGACTTTATAACCTCAGAAAATATTCAAGTTGTTTGTTCGAAGATTGCTCCTCTGCCCTGGCTCCTTTTTTTTAATGTACAATGGCCCTAATACGCCGTCATAAAAATGTAGACATGTTTAATTTGAAAAAGAAATCTAATCTTATGAGCCTGTTACCAGATGATTTATGCCCAGTCATTAGTAGCTAAAACTATCTGAACAACAGGACCTGTGAACCTCTCAGAGAGAAGCAGGCTAGACGTTCTCCACTGAGAGTGAATCACCATTTTATGATATTCAGAACAACAGCCTATAAAACAAATTGCTTGTTTTATAGTTTTTCCCAGTAGTTCTGATGGGCAGGCAGCGTCCAAGAGAGACTGACAGTCTGGTGTTGACTCGATGCAGGGAAAAGCAAACAAAACACAGCGTCACTTGTATGAGGAGCTTATTGTTCACCAGGAAAGACTACAGGCCTAAACCTACAGAGACATAAAGCAAATGTCTTAACCCACTGGAGAGTGTTGGCTGATGTTACATTATGCAGATTGAGCTTTTTCACCACACACATTTTACTTATCATGGCAGAAAACAACAGGTGTAGCCCACCTAAATACATTAATGATGGTCCCATTTCAGCAATTAACTATAGCCTATCACTAACTTTCATCTGTGTCTGACAAGTCAAAATGTCTGTGATGAAAAATGTCTATATCCCCCCTAATCATGTGCCCATTCTTTGTTGCTCGTCTATTTTAAATGAAAAGGTTTATATCCACATCTCATCTTAACTCAGACGCACATTTGTCCTCCCACTGTCCACCTGCAATGTACTCCTAAATCAAGGTAAAATTTGACGTCTGCTTAATGCCCATCTTACATTGGTCACAATTCTTTAAAAATTCATATATAATCTCATGAAACACTAACTCTCTGAAGTCCTCATGATGTGTGGGCTACAGTAGGCTCCACAAAGGACTCACTCTCCACTTTACCCAAATCACATAGATCACACAATCAGTTTTCCCTTCCAACATTTAGAGTCGAGCAACTTCAGTGGCCAGAGGAAGAATACCAGCCACAAAGAGCATTGCTCTCAATTGTGACTGATGGTCAGTTCTACCATCTTCAAGGAGAATATTGACTGTGAGTAAAAATATGGATTAAATATTTATTGATTTTACCTGAAAACAAAGCTGTCAGTGCCTTTTCCTGCCCTGAGTATTCTTCTTGTCTGCAGGTCTTCTTCTCAGGCAGCATAAAGACCCAATAACCTTTATCATTAAGGCAGGGCAGCCTGTGTGAAGTCTGAGCAGCAAAACCCATTCATTGTGCTCACCGTGCACAGCAGAGGTTGGACCAAGTCATTGCTTTGTATGTCACAAATCTCAAGTCTTTGCACACAAGTCCCAAATCAAGACTGACTGTTCTCAAGTCAAGTCCCAAGTCCTAAAACTTTGAGTTTAAGCTAAGATGAAGTTCCTATGTTAATATCAGCCTCGACTTAGTGTTCTTTGTGCATCTTCATCTCTCGTCTGTAGTTTTCGACTTGCACGTCTTGCATACTGCAATTTGATTTTTTGTTGGCCACTGTATAGTTTTTGTACACAAACAAAATAATCTTAAGTACATATTTTTTCCCAATCGGCGCTCTGTAACGTAATGTTAGTTCCTCATGGTTGTCTCCTGCAAGCTGAGCGGATGCAGTTGGATTGGTTCAAACAAAGAGGATCATCTGGGGAATTCATTGTCGAGCTGCTGGGAATGAATAGCGTTGATGTTCGTTGATTAAGGAAATAAAGGGAAATGAACGGATTCACAGCACACTTTTTAAATAACATACATTTTTATCTTTGGGCCTAGGGATAGGAATCAAGTATTTGTCCAAGAGAAATCACAAATCACTGGTGTTGAGGCCAAATCCAGTTGAGTCTTTTTTTTTTTGATTTTGTCAAGTTGAGTCTAAAGTCATCAACTTTGTGACTCAAGTCCGACTCTATTCCATGTCATGTTACTGAAGTCTTCGAGATCTCCTCTCATCTGGACCTTGGCAACTGGACAGTGAGAGGATGATGCTCAAATAACTTCAAAGAAACCAACCTGAAACATTAAAAGAGGGAATAAAAATAACATTTGGAAAAGAGAGGGGGACATGTACTCCGTCTTCCCCAATGAAAATGAGGCCCTTGTTTGGTAAGGCTAAAAGGGGTTTTCATCTTTGCCGGGTTCATATATTACAGTATTTTACACAATCATCACTTCATAGTTCATGTCTTTGAGTACACTTAAATATGAGTCCAGAAAGGTCACCTTAGTGCAGCCACACAGTGAACGAATGAATGTGGACAAATTCAGACAAATAGCTACTTGGAAAGAAACCTCATGGATAAATGTTTTAATATTACCAACATACTTTATGTTTGAGGCCTTGACCACTGCTGCTATGTGACAGTGAATGCTTGATGGCTCACAGTCAAACACTAACACCTGTACATGACACGTATATCAATAAAGACAACGTCGACTGAAGCAAAAGATCTTTTTTAATTCAAAGTGAATCTTAACATAGTACACCATCAATTCATAATTTGACACTCACCAAGAAGAGTCACCAAGAAGGAACCCGCTTTTTGTGACAAAGTACATAAGGCTTGGTCACATTGAAACTCACTGAGAACTAGAGGGGGGAAAAGAAAACGACCGCAAACTGGTAAGACACACATTATTACATCCAAACGATAATCATTTTCCCAGTCCTCATATTGTTGTATATTGCACAGTGCAGTTGCTACATGTCAAACTAGTGTAGCATTTAAGGAAAAAAAACATAAAATCAAAAAATAAAATCATAAAGCCACACAGATCTACACATAACAGTAAAAGTTTCAATTTAGCAATCACGTCTACATATTTGTGTCTAAATACAAGTACTTTAAACCCAATGATTAGATAGCTGTGGTACAAAATCTACCGAAAACGTGTTTTAGGAGTCAGATTTTGCACAATTGGTTTCTCAGCCCAGTACCCAAATGAGATGTTCAGACCCATGTTTATCATGTGAAGGCCCAATAAAAGCAGGCCTTAATTTCTGAAATCAGACTACAACCAAAACTCTCAAGTATTAATGAACACAGACTGGTCCTAATCGTTGCATATTGCCACATTTAAAAAAAAAAAAGATCCCTGTTTTAGACGTATTAAACAGTCCCATGACCTGCTTTGTTACTTAAGGCTGCTGGGCTACGTGTGCTTGTTGAGCTTTAGATTTGGGACTCTGTGACCCTCTGGTGACTTTGATGATGCAACCGTTGAGGCTGCATGGTGGCCAGATTATCTATCCTAACCAATCAACCCAAAGTGGTGGCGGATTACGGCGTGGGACATGACTTCATCTCATCGCAGGTGCTGAGCTGACAGAAAGAATAGAGCCATATGGGAATCAATGAGAGGCTGCACACCACATGGTTACGAAACAAAATCCGTAAAGCAAAGTACAGATTACTGTGCCATGACACACGCCTATCAATTATGACTTCTAGGCTGTACTGCGAGCTGAACAGTGCATCCTCTCGCTTGTCTTGTCAACACAGTAGCAGATTAGACGAGTACACAAAATACACCCATTACTTTAAGCAACATAGCAAAACCATTATAATGTAATACATTAAGTAGAGTAGCACCATGACAAAAAAATATTTGCTCAGTTTCTTATCGTGACAAGAAGCCTCTCATTTTAATGATCTTTTTAATGTTATGTTTCACTATGACTCGATACCAACTTGTTCAGTTTATCCCCCCAAAATTTCTTGTTAGATCATAAAGCCTTATCTTGTATAACCCAAAATTTCATTAAACCAACATATATTGATCCAAATGTTGTTATAGCATCATATAAATATAAAATCTTGTTATAACAAGAAACTGAGAAGAAAGACAAAATGTTTTTTGTGATGGTGGCAGAAATACGCTGCCGTACATGAGGATGGGACAACTTTGGACCTACAATTTGAGTACGATTGATGGATAAAGCATTTTTGAAAGGACCCCTCGACTCAAACACATGATGATATCTACCTATGGTAATAGCTGCATATAAGAACTATCAACATCCCAATCACAAGATGAGAGAAAACACTGTATAGCCATCAGAAATGCAACAACAACTCATTTGCAAACCAAAAAACTGATGTCTTGAGTTCCACAAATACATTCACGGTGCGGGAATAAAGCTTTGCATTTGTGTATATTCAGGCCCTATGTTTTTTTTTTTGAGTACTGCACGGTGTTCTTTGTGAGCGCGATAACACACACTTCCCTGACTTGTACTTTCTTAGGATTCTGTAAAAAAGAGATTGTTTCCAGACCTCATCTCAGTCTAACAAACAAACAACTTTGGGGTTTCGTGATGTGAAAATAGGAGCTGATCCCCTCGGAAAGGAACTAGTCTACAAATTTCCGACCGCTGTAATATCAATGCAAGACGTCATCTGTCAGCCACTTGTTTGAAGAAAGGCACTAGTTGTACAGTACAAAGAGTTGCAAATACAGTCCGATAACGGAAACAAAAGCCATGTCGTCAGAAAGAAAACGAGAGAAACGATAATACATCAACGACACACCGGTTACAGAATCCAACAGTGAACCCAGCCTACATTTGAAAATACTGATGCTAAATGCACACGCACAAAAACACACACACCCACACACACGCACACACACACACCATAAAGCAACAGAATAAAAAAAAAAAGAAAACTGATAACTTCCATTACAGCAGTTTACAATCACTTCAAAACAACAAAGCTAATATACAGAGGCACTAGCATATAGGAATAGCATTCAATATACTATATAAAATAAACCCCACTTCTATTGTATCTAGTCATCAAACTACAATACAAAAGAGAGAATGCAGGCTAGAATGAGATTATTCCTCTAAATTCACAGCTACGAAGTGGCAGATAATCAGTACATAGCAGCTTATTATCTATACATTCCAAATGCAATTTGCCAAACATAGCTCAGAAAAATAAAACCTCAACCTCATTTTTAAAATAGAGATCTCACAATATATTCCAATGTTGATAACTGCAACAGTATGCTGGAGGTGAAAAGGAGAAATAGTATCGACCATGCTTCAGAAATGATTAACGAACAGTCTTTGGTGCTGATTGGAGTAAAATACCAGCTGATATGACGACAGGTAAAGACGCAGCTCTACTACACACTGGAAATCAAAAACACACACACACACACACACACACACACACACACACACACACACACAAAAATCAAGGCTATGCATCCACCCTGAAGGAATGTATCAAAACTGACAACAGGCTTCAATACATGGACAAAAAAAAGGTCTGTTTCACACAAATATCTGAAACAATTACCGAAACACCTCTAACAATCAATAGCCCAGCAATGATACTGTAAGTTGATAGGTTATTTCAAACACTGAGAAGCATTTAAAAGTAAAAACATAAAAGTCTATGCCACTCCCAAAAACTAAAACATTAAATGCATTAATGCACGTCTAGTCTAAATGCTAAATAATAAAAACACAGCAACCCAGAGGCTATCTAGATTGTATTGCAGTTACAGTAAACAGTGACAATACTGTTATGAATTAAGTACTATAGTGAATAGAAATCGATTATCAAAATATCAAATCACTCTTTATGTACATAAAAAGCTCATTCAGTCAAAGCCCTAAATGTGCAGCCTCTAGCTAAAGTAAATCCATACTCTGAGTTAGAAAGCAAACTTAAGTCCAACATTTGCCAATATTACAACATAACCACAAGCATTACTTATCCAACACGCCCGTCATGTTCAGAGTCTGAAGGTTAAGTGCTGCAAGCCCATTTTAATTTACAATCTATAAGCTCCTGAAGTAACGTCATAGACACTGGTTTTAAGGCACTAGGCGATGGCAGCAGTAACGTCTGCCTCACAGACAGGAGCATTCAATCCTGGTTAATACAGACTGGGATGGCTTAACAAACAGATCTGACCGGCTAGCACATGCTACAAGGCAACAAAGATAAAGGGTAAGGTGGGGCTGACCACCCTGACAGCAACAACAACAACAAATGATTTCCAGCCTCAAATTAGATCATATTCTCTGAACACTAGTCAAACAACAAATGACAGGAGGTAATGTGCAAAGGACACATTCTTAATTAAAATTTCCTTATCATTATAATTTGTGAATTCATTCACTCTCGTGACGCTCTCTTATAAAGCTTTGTGGTTTAAATCGATCATTGTTTCCTCTGTTGGCTGACATGATTTTGCAGGAAGTCTTTCAGAGCTGAAGCTGCCCTGACAATCAAACACGATCACTAACTTTTGACGTGAAACTCCAGATTGCAGAGACTGTAAATTTGTCCTCGAAACACCATAAAACGTCATCTTCAGCATCGTTACTTTTGTTTGCCTTTCTCAGTCCCCGATGAAACATAATGTTATCAATCCTCCTCTTGTTAACCATATCTTCTTCATCCTCATCTTCGTTATCATAAGTGTCCGTTTTGTGCTCTGCTGCTTGCTCTACCTGACCAGGTCGCAGCCCCAGTCCATTTCCCGTTGCCCTTCCTCACCAGAAGGTAGTGCTGCGGCCCCGTCCTGCTCCTCAGATATAAGAGAACTGGGGGTGGTGGCTGAGCTTGGTGGGGCTCAGAGGGAAGCCTGTGAAGGCGGCCGGGGAGGCCATGTAAGGGTGAGGAGGGGGGAAGGGAGGCTTGAACTGGTGGGGGTGGTGGGCGTAACCTGGCTGGTGATGCGGGTGGATGGTCGGGGAGGGGAGGAGCCTGTGTGGGTGGGCAGCTGGGTGTCCAGGGTGGTGGGGGTGGGTGCTGATACCCAGGGTCACCTGGTGAACTATAGCGCCTCCTTGGGGGTGGGAGAGACTGTAACTGTGCTGGAGGAGAGGTGGTGGGGGAGGGCGAGAGGGCAGGATGGGGTGAGGGTGGTGACCGGCGGGGAGGGGGGCGTTGGGAGGGTAGGACAGAAGGGTGTGTGTGGGCAGGCCTTGGGTATGTGTGTGCGGGCCGGCTGAAGTGTGTGTGGGGCTGCTGTGTGGCAGGTGTGTGAAGGTGTGTGTGTGGACAGTAGGGGGGATGTAGGCGTGTGGTCGCATTGGCCCATAGTTGCCGTTCCACTCTTTGTTGCTGTGGTTTGAACCGTACGGCTGCACCTGAGGAAGAAATTAGAAAAGCTCAATCACAGGGTGAGATTTAGAGTCACCCTAATGTAACCTGTTCAAACACCCAGGTACTACACAGGCTCTTCAAAGAATAGTTTGACATTTTGGGAAATGCTAATTTGCTTTATGGCGAGTCAGATGAGAAGATTTAACACCACTCTTTTGTCTATTCATTTAGTATGAAGCTGGAGCCAGTAGCTTAGCACAAAGACAGGGAATGGGAACTACGTGGTGGACTATGTCTCGGCTGTCAAACAAGATATTTGTTTAAGCTTATACAAGTAAGCTTTAGGGGTGCAGGTAAGTGGATTTCATAACCTGTGGACAGAGCGGTTTCCTCGCTTCCACTAAAACCCCTCTTCTACCAAAATTAGAATGTGTGCGCAGGTATTTAAACACTGGAACCCCCCTTAAAAATAGGCAACAGACTCCTTTTCTATTGCCAGTAAACTAGAGCCATGTAAACAGCTCTCCGGCAGACAAACATGCCTTTCCTTTTTTAAAATGAAATACTGTTGTGTCCCGTTTGACATCATGGACAGACCGGAAAACAGGCTAGTACACAGTAGAAAGCTGTATGGAGGCCAGTTAAATGTGACGGTGGCTACTACCTACTTTTTATATATCTCTTTCAAACTCTGTGCCAACTAATTTGGAGTCGGACGTTAGTTTCGTGTCACTGGTAAAGGGGCTATTATTAGCATGTTCACCCGAGTGTTGTATTTCCATCACTGCCTATCGGCGCGGGAGCCAATAAATCACTGTGACTACTGCACAGTCATTTGACCCGGTGTGAATGTCGACTGTAACCTTATTAGAAAGGGGCTTAAGATAACCAAGTACTGACTCTAGCCTGACATTTAATAGGGTGGTATCAATCTTCTCATCTAATGCCATGTTCACACTGGATGCGGACATGACCTGTCACACAGGTAGGTGCCTGGCCATTCACACCAGAAGCACATTTCTTCGTAACGGTCAGCAAGCAGTTCTGCTCCTCTGCTCTTTCAAAATGACACGTAGAGCTCTGTCTCTGTTGGCCTGTGTGTGTGTGTGTGTGTGTGTCTGCTCATTTCTTCGACTCTCTGTTTAGACACTACTGACAAATATTTGAGATGAGATTCATATTTGATCATTTATCAGACCCAATAAAATATCATATATATTTTTTATATTGTTTATATTTGATTGTAAGTATGTCTTCCTGCCGGATTTACTTGCGACTTACAGAAAACAACAAACCAGACACCAAAACTGTCAGCCTAATTAGTCAACACAGGCTTCATAAGGAAGGGGCAGTGCTCTGTGGAAAATCAGCGTGCTGCTGCTTCTGGTGTGAACCAAACTTAAATCTCTGCAGGAAAGCAAATCAGCAAGTATCCCAAAATGTTGAACTATTCCTTTACAGTCCCTGTCTGGTGAAAAAAGGATTTAAGTTTTAATTTCAGCAGAAATGACAAACCACACAAGTCAAACCACATGACTCAGGACATTTTAATCAAGCCCTTGATGACAGCAAAACAGAATACCAGTTATTGTAACAGATCAGCTAAAAAATTGCACAAATATGCTGCTGCTCTGACAGAAATGTCCTGGAGCTCTGCTGCTATTAATATTCACCAATAGATTTAGAAGCCTTCCACTTCTGTATAATCCCCCATATATTATAAAAGTAAAAGAAATGAACTGACCTGTCCAAAGCCCAGAGGGTGCTGCTGCTGCTGCCCTGTCACTTTTTGCTGCCGGGACAGGAGGGGGGCGGATGGGAGAAGGGGGATGGAGGAAGGAGTGCTCTGTTGTCCTGCGAGACTGCAGCGCCCTTTGGACCGGGACCAGGACTCTGAGACTAGAACAGAGAGAAGACAGAAGTGAGTCAGGCAAGGACATACACATGTACTGCAAAAACAGATGGCAGGTTTAGTCCACACAGCCTGCAATACCAAAGACTTCAAACAACAAACAAGCATGCATACCAAAGAGAAAATAGATTCAGATGCATCTGTTCAACAAAAGTGTTCTTTCATGACATACAGTCCCAGTTCGAACTTAAGTCCGAGTTTATGGGAAAATGCTTGTCACCAAAAAGGCTACGACAGTTGAGCACCACCTCTGACTACTGAAATAATCCTCCTGAGGAAGGCTGGATGGGGTTGGGCAAAGGATAACTGGCATATGACAATGTACACAGTGGAAACATCGCAGTGATTCTGTTGCCTGGCGTAGGTCAGTAGAAAGAAAATAGTTCCTATATGAAACTGCTCACAACAAGGTCTTTATTATCTTGAGTAACTGGCTCATGATTTCTGGAGAGAGACATTTCTATTAAGTTTTTCAAAAATAATTTTTTTGTGCTTTGAGCACCACAAGCAGAGTGCCATCTAGTTCCATTATACTGGAGAGCAGGCAGACATCTCTATGGTCGATATATTGCCAACACTCAACAACTCAAGCCAAAAACAACCTAGACTGATAAATGGCACTACAGGTGATAGGAAAAATATGTATCAACCCCAAAATTCCTGTTTGGAGCAACCTTGGGAACTGAATTAACAATACCTAAACTTCACTGATGGTCATTAAAAGAAAGTCTTACTTAGAGATTAATCAATATTTTAACGTTACAGGGGTAATTTCAGAGTTTATATAAGAATGTGGTTACATTAGGAGTTAAGCATTACAGGCTAATGCAACAAAGATAAAACTCAACAAATGGTGGTAGACATGTTCAGGTATTGGGATGTTTTATCCATTCTAACAACCTGCTCTAGATCAACAACATGCTGGCCTAACAGAAGTACAACTCAATACTGCAGAAGCATGCCACTCCTTCAGCATTACAGTCAGTGTGAAAGTGGTTTTATATTATAGCAGCACAGTGACCGTACTGAGCAAAAAAATGACCTGCTTCAGATAAAATGTCTGAGTTAGTGGTGTAAAGGAATGACAATTTAGCATTTTACGGCCACAGTGTGACTGTAATTTCTGCGGCTATCAAACAATCATCCAACATGTCTCACTTTTTAACAGTTGCAAATCTTTCCATTAAACACAGCATCATAAAACTAGGCAATGAAATCCATAAAGTTGGGGAAAGAGAAAGAAACAGATTGTTGGCACTCAGACAAGGAATTGGACTCTGATCTGTATCAGTTTTAAATTTACTCCACCATTTTAAAAATTAACATCTGGGAAGAGCAAAAATGTGAAACTGATACTAGATCAGTGCCTCAGGGCAACATTTGCTGCATAGCAAGAACCAGCAGAGAAGACATAGGCTCTGACTCAACACCAAATTAATGCATCCACCTTTCCCTCCACTCTATGGATCCAACAGACTCATGTTCGGAAAATATGTTTGCTGTACTTTGCCTGAAGTGAACCCTGCTTTATTCTACTCTATCAAACTTCTGGCTCACTGATGCAGGCCTAACTTGGTGCTGTCGAGTAAGGAGGGAGTTGTTTTAGATACTCGAGCTGCAGTTCAGATATTCTTTGACGGTTGGTGAGAGTTATTTGAAGGATTAAAAGGTAAGAAACCTAAATGGTTTCTCTCAACGATAAAAATCCACCATCAGCCAAAATGACTGCTCAGATGAGGAGAGTTACTATCATTTAACTCTTCCTACACAGCGTCAAAATGATCAAACTTGCGTTGCCTTGGGATATCTGGTTCACTAAAGCTTACACAAGATGTTGACCAATTTCAAATGGTGTACACATGCACATTTAAAAGAAACTGTTAACAACCCTATCTGACTGTGCATGTATAACAGACCTGCTTATGTCCAAATATTTTTTATCTTTACCCCTCAGAAACTTTCCTTGAAGAAATCCTCTACTGATGGAGGGAAAGCCATAAAAAAGACTCTCTAGCAATGTTAGCATTGCCTACTATGGATGCATCTTTAAGGTATTGGTACAACAAGGCCAGTTCTCTGGTGGTGTCTCTTGATCACCTGTTAAAGCCTCTATGACCCACTAGGGGGCGATAAGCCCCCACTGCTTCCATATGACCTGCAAAGCAGAAACCGCCAAAGCACAGGTGATAGACCACAGGACAGGTGGTAGAGTGAGGACACATTTATGGCAGAACATTTTTCTGGGTGTTAGTGACAAACAGAATTTTTATTACAGAATTAAATTCTTGTAAGCTTGTATATAAAAAAACAAAACAACTAACAATAGACACACTTCTTTTCTTCTCACCTATGAAGTCAAAGAATACATAAACATACAACCAGAAATATTTCTTTCCAGTTGGAGAAGATCAACATTTCTACTGACCTGTTCTCTGACCGCGCTGCTCTGTCCCTTGACTGTTGTTGTTCTGGACTCTCATTGGTGGAACCACCATGGTCCTGATGCCACGGGGGCTCCTGCCCTGCACTGCAGGGGAAGGCAGTGGTGCTACCATGGCAGCCAAAGGTGGGCGGTTGTTGTGGTTACTGTTGTCGAGGTAACGGTAGGGACTGTTGCTGCGCGGGGAGGTTGATGTGTCGGACGTGGGGGAGCCTTCCACTGTGTCACAGCCACTCTCGTGGCCGTCGTCCTCAGACATGCTGAATTCAGAGGAGACACAACATTAAGATGGCTGCCACTCACAAGTGTATTTCTCTTTGCAGAACATTTACCAGTTATTTGGACATAAAGTCACTTCCACAAATAACTACCTGTTGGGCCTCTTGCATGGTGAGACAGAGGGGCTGGACTGAAGAGAGTTGGAAGCAAAAGAACTGGTGCTGAGGCTGCTGTCGGGGCTGCTGAGGGAACACACTCTCTCCATAGACACACTGGTGTTTCTGCATGCCTCACACACACACTCCTCTTTACACCTATGAAGATAAAAATTAAGGTTAGCATTTCTGAGGCTCATGATAGTAAAATTGTCATGAATCACTGAAGTTTTAGATTTATAATCTGTATTCCAGACTTTTTCAGAAACCAGACACATCCTGTTAAAGAGGCTCATTCGGCTTCTGAAAACTAATAGGTTGTCTGAGTTTTTACTACCACCACCCTATTTCCATTGTTTATGATATTACTCACTCGCTCAGATGGCACCTCTGAGAGTCTTCATCCTCTTCGTCCTCCCCATCAGTAAGTTCACTGCGAATGCTGATCACACTGGCAGCAGGGCTCGGCGTGTCACCCATCAGAACTGCCACCTCTCGCTGTTGTTGACTGGACAGGTCCAGCTGGCTGTTACCATTTGGTACCACTTCTTTAAAGCAGCTCACTTCCTCCTCCACATCATTTTCCTCTTCATTTGTGTTACGAACTCCCAGTTGTCTGGTTTCCACCAGAGGCTGCTCCCTCTGAGGCTGCTCTCTTCGTGCCACTGCCTGTCCAACAACATTGGCCATCTTGGGGGTCCGACATGCTGACACATGGATGTTGTTGGGGTGGGACAGATTCCTTTTAACACAAAAGTTGATATATTACAAACCAGTAAAATGGCAGAGCAGTTTAACTTTACTAAGGAGCAGAATCTCACCTGTTGTGACTGTGTCTGTTCCTCTTATTGGCTGGCTGGGGCCACACTACATGAGCTATGCCAATGTTGATTGGCTGATGGGCAGAGAGGGCTGGCATCTGATTAGTCAGGAGAGGCTGTTGCATCACTGAAGTGTAGTGGCTGCTGTGGGGACGCAATTTCCTGTTAAGTTATCAAAAGATTTTTAGATTACATGCTACACTCTGATGAAAACAAACAAAACTGCAACAATTCATAACAATGTTCTAAATTAATATTAAAGCTACAGTTGTATTTTATTTTGAATAATGGTTAAGTGTATAGCTACACAAAAATTCAGAGTCTTTAGCAAGTGTTCAGCTGTGTAAACCATTTGTTGGTTTACATTACATTTAAGAAGTCAGGTTGCAACACAAGCATCTTTGCCTAGTGGAGGTCTTAAAAAGGGAATTTCCCAAACTTTAAGTTTTGGTGACTCAGAGTAAGGTGACTCACCCCCAGTCGCTGATTCTCTGTGGGCCAGCTGTGGTGTCGTTGGTAAGGGAGGAGGGGGGTGGTGGAGGAGGGTGAGAGGGAGGAGGACCCACTGGAGTCATTTGCTGCCACGCTGCTGGGACGAGGAGCTGCTGCCCTCGGTTGGACCAGGCCTGCTACAGGGACAAAACAGGAGAATGAGGGCTATTTTTCAAATCATCTGTTGATCCTCACATCAGATCTGTATTAACTTCACCACACTTAGTGCCCGATGTTGCATTAAGGTTGACTAAGATGCATAAGCAACACACCTATTTAGAATCCATGTTTGGGTCTTACCTGAGCAATCACACCAGGTCTCACAGGTAAGGGCTGTATAGGAGGGGCCTGAGTTACCATGGGAACAGAAAACCCTGCTGGTTGGTTAAGGTTACCTAAAAAAAAAAAAAAAGCATAAAACAAACCATCTGTCACACATGCAGAACAACTACACTGTTGAAAAATATAACAGCATATTGGCGCTGTGGCAGCACTTATTTGCATTTCACTTTATACTGTAAAAGATTGAGAAATGTATTATGTAATAATTGAGAGCAGCATGCAGTCTACTTACCTTGCATGGTGGGAGGGCAAAGAAGAAGGGCAGGTGGGAACGAGTCAGTGCACCCAAACTGACCATTTCCTGTTGTCAGAGCTATCCCAGGATGCAACACTGAAGGAGCTGACTGGTTCATAGCCTGCATTAGAAGAGAGTAGAATGAAAGAGACAGAGTGGCAGGTAGAGAGGAGAATATAGCAAAGAAAGAGAAAATGTGAAAAGAATAGTCATGAGATGGATAGACAGAGGAGAGACGAAATCAAAGAATATACATGGAAAAAAGATTAGCAATCAACAGTGTCACATGTGACAGAAACACAAAGAATAATATTCTGAGATGATAAGAAACAGTGGACAGAAAAATTGCTGAAGATTGGACTTATTTACAGCCGTTTATTTATGTTCTCTGTCCTGACAAAACTGAGATGTCACCAAGAAACAATGTGTCATAGCATAATTCTAAATGACAAAGATGAGAGACAGCACTGATGGTAGTTTAAAAAGAACTCAGTGTGAGGTTTGTAACTCAAGATCTTTGTCACACTGATACAAATGATTACTGGTGCAATGAAAAATAGTATCTCACTTGAGTGTGGACTGGTATGTTGCCGTAGCCCAGAGGGAGGCCAGAGGAGGCAGTGGGGGCTATCGGTGGTCTTGAGAAATGAATGGTGTTCTGATTCAGAGCGTCAAACACTGCATTGGTGGGCCGACTGTGGCACATGTCCATGATGCGGAAAGATGACTGCACACTGGAGAGAATAACAGAAGTGGTGGTGAGGTAAGGAGGGAAGTTTTAGGGCTGGAGTTCAAACCACAGTCAACAATCAGGCTATAATACATGAGAGGGTGTGTTTAACTGCCATTACTGGCATGACAGTAACGAGGCAGGGCCGAGTCGCGTGAATCACTCTTATGTGTAATGTTGTGATCATACAAGTGTTATCAACAAGTTAAAAAATATAATCAAGATGTATTCATATTGTGGGACACTTCACTTTCAAAAATGAAACACTTTTTGCTCATGTTATCTTAATTTTCATGGAAATGGTTGGGACCGACTAATAGTTGAAAAGAAAAAAAAAACACATCACATCAGTAGACTCCTTTGTAATGACACCTGGTTTACTTCTATACCACGTAGGCCTACACTTAGTAACGACCTAGCGACAGAGATGATATCTAGTCCCTGTTGAGTCAGCTAGCGAACTTGATGAGCTAATGTTACTGCTTTGTAGAAACTGCAGAATTTCCCAAACTGAATAAACATCACACACATAAGCACAAAATTGCCATGCTTACTCAATCTTGCTGTGACTAAGATTTCTGCTGAAGAATTATTTTTCCTTGGTCTGATTTCACATTGAACAGTTAACTACAGGGCATCGTAAAGTCCAAAAGTCAAGATTTATTGAAAGAAAATAAATAAATAGATGAAATCATGTCATTTATGATTCAGCTCTGGAAGTGACAATGTTGTCATGGTAATGGCAGAGTAGTATTTTTAGTGATGAGCACGGTGTGCTGTCATGCTGATTCATCATGTTCTAAATGTCTAATTGACCAATCAGATTGCCTAGCTGGATCTACTTATTGTCTAAAAATGCATTTACACCATGTCTTTGTACACTGCTAGTTACTACAGGAAAGAAAAACAACAGAACACAAACAAGAGCGTGCAAGCAAACACATTTCGTGTTAATGTCAGTTGTAGCAGCCTTACTGGTTGCTGTGTGGGTAGTCTAGCAGATGAGTCATAGTGAGGAAGGGGTGATTGAGGACGCTAGCTGGAACGGTCCTGTCCTCAGCATCGATCAGCAGCATGCTCTTCAGCAGAGACACAAACTCCCTCCTGTCTGCCTTCTCTGCCTGCATGTCACTGTTATCAGGACTCAGCACCAAGTTCACCTGACAGATGGAAGCAGTGAGACAGACAGAGAGAAAACAATGCATATGAGAGCCACACAGGGCAACAGCTCATGTCACAATTAATTAAAAAACAGGAAGTGCTTGAACTGATCCACTGATATGGTTGTTCTACAGCTACAAAACAAGGTTCAGGGTGTTTTGAGATGTGATCATGAAGTTTAGCACATTTACAAGGATACATTGTTGTATATTCGAGCATGAACCTAAAATTATCTGTTATCTCTTGTCACTCTTTGGTTTCATTTGCATGGTTTGAATTTGATTAAAGTCATTTGATCTGGTTGAACTCACGTGTGCTATGTCATCCAGACAGCTGAAGATGTACTTTCTGGCCTCTTTGGATTTAAGTCCTGTCTCCTTCTCATGCTCTTCTGTTGTCTGGAGGAGAAATATCAACAGTAAGATTAGAAAAAAAATGTTTTTGCATCTCTGTGTGCTGAAAACTACCACCAGATTTGTAATGTTTAAATAATAAGGAATGAAAGTATTACATAAGGTCTACACAGGCAATGGGAGTAAACTACGTGTTTTCATGTCAATCTGTGTGGTCAGAGTGTTAGGCAGCTGAGTTTTTGCTGGGAAGTACTGGAACAGATAAACATTAGGCTCACATTCATTTAAAATTTATTTAGAGTCAGCCAGCAGGTAGTCTAAACACAGTTTCACATTTCCTAAAGCTTTCCTCAGGGCGTGCTGGCTTTGTCTTGTTTTGAAAAGCTTATGCATCTGTTTCCTATCGGTAATGTTCTGCCACTTCTTAATTTCTTTCCTCCCTCGCTGCAAGAACTTTCACTTCAATTTTCACCGAATGTCTGCTACTTTTTTCATTTCTAATCTCATCTACCCCTTATCATATGTGGTTGACAGGAGGTTGTGTGCTCTGTGTTTGCAAGTCTTTTACATGTTTGCACAAACCCTTCATGTATATGTTTGTACATTTGTGTGCAGGTACCTTTAGTCTCCAGGTGGCATATGGAGAGTCGGACTCTTTGGAAAAGAAACGAGAAGTCTTGGTCCCCTTGTTGAGCAGCTGCTCGGTGGGCAGGCCCTGAGTCTGAGAGATGTACCGGATCTGAAGCAAAAGAAAAATATAAGTACAGTGAAATAACAAAGGTGAGAAATTAAAAAGGACATGGAAAAATGTGGAAAGAGAGAAATGCAAGACACGCAATACTTTTTACTGTCGATCGACTCATACCACGAAGGGGATAAAGCAAATCAATGTGTTTATGGTTAAGAGGAAGAAAAACCATCAAGGCCAGAAATGACTAACATAAACTGGCTGATAAAAAAATCCAATGGTGTACTGTTATTCAAGCTTGCATAAGGCTATCTTTGAAAAACAACACGATGCAAACACAACATCTCCATCATGTATATTTATGTTCTACTCTGAAACTTGGAGTTTGTCCAACAGCTAGTCTATAAGTTGCTTGTTATCTAATACAGCACTTTAACATCCCTGCACTTCAACCTTTAGTGCCCTGCCAAACGGACATAGATGGAGCACTTCACAGGCCCAAGGCTGATGACGCACACAAGCCACACACACACACACACAGGGGGGAGTCAAAGGTTACTGATAGTTGTCTGCAACATTCAGCACAACTTCCTAACAATAATAACAATTTCACGCACTGAAAATTTTGAGCTTTTAAACCCATTATTTCTTAGAAAAAAGTGTCCAAGTAGTATAGTCCAAGCCTAATCTTCAGTTTTTTATTTGAATTTTAAGTGACAGATTGAAATGCAGGGCTCTGTGTACATGCACTGGTGCATGTAACTTTTAAAATTACACGCACCAATTTTTTCTTTCTCTCTTCTTTTTTGGCACTTGCACCACAGCCTGATGGCCAACTTAGTCTGCAACCTATTAAGGGATTTGTTTTTTACTGACAGTTCAAATAAGAGGTATTTAGACAATGTTATCATGTAAACTGAGCTGACTTTCCCTTAAATTTTATCAAAAAGTGTACCATAAAATAACTTTAAGTTTTACATGATCATAGTCAGGGTCATCCTTAGTTAAAATGTAAAGTTAAAAAAAGTTCAAATTTAAAAAAAATAAATAAATAAAAAAATTACATTACGTTACATTATTTGAGCCGACCTTCCCTGTACAGTAATGTGCTGTGAAACTACTTACACAGTCATAGAAACATTTAGAGCATAAATTCATTGGGTTTCTCAGCAAACCTAAAATGAGAATGGTTTATCACAATACCTCTTTTTTTAATGATGTCACATATTCAACAAGACTAATTTAATATATGATGTGTGAGAAGGAAGAAAGATTTCTAATCAATGACAGGTGTGATTTCCAGCACCATTTGATTTGCGAGTTCTAAAATGCACTGTGGGAAATTGACATACAGTCAGGTCCATAATTATTTGGACAATGATACAGTTGTCGTCATTTTGGCTCTGTACACCACCACAATGGGTTTTAAATGAAACAATGAATACCTGCTTAAAGTGCAGACTCTCAGCTTTCATTTAAGGCTTTTTTTTCCAAAAATGTAGTATGAACCGTGTAGGAATTACAACCATTTCTTCACACAGTCCCCCGACTTTAAGGGCTCATAAGTATTTGGACAAACTAACATAATCATCAATTAAACAGTCAGTTTTAATACTTGGTTGCAAATCCTTTACAGTCAATGACTGCCTGAAGTGTTGGACACATAGGCATCATCAGATGCTGGGCTTCTTCCCTGGTGATGCTCTGCCAGCCCTTTACTGCAGCCGTCTGCACTTCCTGCTTGTGTTTTGGGTGTTTTGCCCTCAGTTTTGGCTTCAGCAAGAGAAACGCATGCTCAGTTGGATTCAGGTCAGATGATATGACTTGGCCATTGCAGAACATTCCACTTCTTTGCCTTAAAAATGTCTTTGGTTGCTTTTGCAATATGCTTCAGGTCAATGTCCATCTGCACTGTGAAGCATCGTCCAATGAGTTTTGAAGCATTTGGTTGAATCTGAGCAGATAATGTAGTCCCAAACACTTCAGCTTTCATCCTGCTGCTCTCCTCAGCAGTCACATCATCAATAAATACGAGAGAACCAGTTCCACTGGCAGCCATACATGGCCATGACATAACAGTACCTCCACCATGCTTCACTGATGAGGTGGTGAGCTTTGGATCATGAGCAGTTCCTTCCCTTCTTCCTTCTCTTGTCTTCCCATCATTCTGGTAGTTGATCTTTGTTTTATCTGTCCATAGTATGCTGTTCCACAACTGTACAGGCTTTTTAGATGGTTTTTGACAAACTCTAATCTGGCCTTCCATTTTTAAGGCTAACCAATGGTTTGCATCTTGTGATAAACCCTCTGTATTTATTCTAGTGAAGTCTTGTCTTGCTTACAAGAGCAGCAGGATGAAAGCTGAAGTGTTTGGGGCACCATTATCTGCTCAGATTCAATTAAATGCTTCAAAACTCATTGGATGATGCTTCACAGTGCAGATGGACATTGACCTGAAGCATATTGCAAAAGCAACCAAAGACATTTTTAAGGCAAAGAAGTGGAATGTTCTGCAACGGCCAAGTCATATCATCTGACCTGAATCCAACTGAGCATGCATTTCTCTTGCTGAAGCCAAAACTGAGGGCAAAACACCCAAAACACAAGCAGGAAGTGCAGACGGCTGCAGTAAAGGGCTGGCAGAGCATCACCAGGGAAGAAACCCAGCATCTGATGATGTCTATGGGTCCAACACTTCAGGCAGTCATTGACTGTAAAGGATTTGCAACCAAGTACTAAAACTAACTGTTTAATTGATGATTATGTTAGTTTGTCCAAATACTTATGAGCCCTTAAAGTTGGGGGACTGTGTGAAGAAATGGTTGTCATTCCTACACGGTTCATACTACATTTTTGAAAAAAGCCTTAAATGAAAGCTGAGAGTCTGCACTTTAAGCAGGTATTCATTGTTTCATTTAAAACCCATTGTGGTGGTGTACAGAGCCAAAATGACGACAACTGTATCATTGTCCAAATAATTATGGACCTGACTGTATGGTTCATTTCACTGGAGTTTACCAGATATGTGCTGACTTTTCCAAAGGATTCATTCAGCTTTCTGGCCTGCCCTGTCTTGATCACCCCTCTCAAAATTCCATGATACTCCAGAAATTCCATGACCAATGGAAATCCTACATTGATAGGTTATACTGTGTGTGTGTGTGTGTGCGTGTGAGCATGAGTGCACGTGCATCGGTCTACGGCCCAGAACAAACACACTGACTGGCCAGAGGGCACTGGTCTGAGAACCTGCTGATGGTGCACTGAACACTCACCACAGTGTGCGTGTGTGTATCTGTGTGTGTCTGTGTGTGTGTGTGGGCGCACATGTCTACCATCAGGCTTATGTTTATAAATACATTTTGCTGTGTAGAGTGGAACTGCAGTGAGCCTTGGCATAGCACAGCATACTTTTGGGGGCTCAATGTGCACGCGCGAGTGTGTGTCCTGGCATGGCCTGGTGGTACAACAGCGCTGTCAGTGCTCAGCGGAGCTCTAACCGCCACTATCTCTGACTGATGATTGTTCAAACTGCTAGCTGCTGCTGGAGGCACCAGTGACCCCTCGTTAAAAACAGATACACACATTTGCATTAAACAGGGTCTACCCAAACAAAACATCAATTCTTGAAAAAAATGCTAATGATCAAGAATGTGTGGTACTGGCGTGCACTATGAAAGCACAGCCAATTTCAAACATTTGGTCTGGCAAAGACGCCTGAAGAGAAGATGTCCATAGAAGGTCAAATATCATTTTCTCTCAACCTAATAAATGCCAGGACAAGACAGTACCAGGGTGTCCAAGAGTCTTTTTCCAAATTTCTAAACTCACAGTAAACATGATGGACTTAATTCTGGCCTACTCAGAGTTGCCTATAGTCAAACACAGGGTAATCCTGTACTGCTCTGTGAATGTGATGTGAGCCTTTTCCCATGCTCCCTCTCCCTCGCTGGGGGACTCCATTTAAAGTCCCAGTTGTGTAGTTCAGACCGCACAACCCTGTGGGAAGATCATCACACATTGCCAAGAACAATTTCCTGATACACTCAGCTCAGATTAGTATTTGGTGGATTTCATGCTGGATTTGCTGGACTTCAGTCATACAGCGAGAGAGAGATCAGGGAGCAACAACAAATACAGGTTTAACTATATAATGAACATACTGTTGAGTTTTTGCCCCTGGGAAATCTGCATTATACACATGAAATATGTATTATGTAATCTCTGAAAAATGTTATTACTTTCTGTTTATTTTGTCCTCTTAACTCTCTCTTCCTCAATAGGAGAGAGGGATATATCTTTATCTCCCCTTTACCTCTCCCCTGGAGTGTGTGTGTGTGTGTGTGTGTGTGTGTTTGTGTGCGAAGTAGCTAGCAGTTCTTGCGTGTGTGTGAAGAATGTTACCTGGTCGTACTCCAGTGCTCCGGGGTAGAGGGGCCAGCCCAAAAAGAGCTCAGCTATCACACAGCCCAGTGACCACATGTCTATGGCCTCGCAAAATGGCAGGCCCAAAATAATCTCTGGAGCCCTACAGAGAGAAAAGAGAGGCAGAATAGGTTACTTGTGGGAGTTGGTCACCATGTAAAGTTAAAAACTAGTCATTCTGTCACAGCCTTGGGGGGCAACATATCTATGGATTCACAAGATTAGCAGGGCTCGGGCCTCTGTAGCTCTTGTTGGAACAGCAGAGAAGAAAATGTTTCTAGTGAACAAAAAGGTAGGGTAACTAAGTGGATAGTGCGAAACCTGTTAACCATATAAAATCACTGTTAGGAGTATCTCTGGATTTAAAATAGCTACTGTGACTCCACATGGTGTTTACTGCATAGAGAGCTTAGGCAGCTAGAAGACACGTTGCTTTACCTCTCTGTGACCGTAACCAAAACCCAAACATCTCAGCAATGACAATTCTATTTCAAAAGCACTACATCAAATTCCTCACCAGGAAGTATAAATTCAACAGCAGAAGTATTTCAGGGTGGCACCAAAAACTGAACACGGTAAGAATTTATTCCAGGGCTGTTGAAGGGCATCAAATTGGTGTTCCTATTCTTCTAGTATTTCAGTGTACATTTTCATATGATAAAGTCAGCCCTCAAGCACAGCACTACCTCGTTCTCATAGGTTTTACATTTTATAAAACAATAATATAAAGAGATACGCACTAACTTAAGCTTAAGAACACTATAAAGCATGACACATAACTGTCTCTATGCACAAAATTACAGCCTCCTTATTCAGGGATCACAAAGTGAAAATTACACCCAAATGACGTGCACGCTGTGTTACTGCAACAAAGAACTAAATCTCTTCCAAGGAACGGACTTTGCCACTTACGCAATTTAAATGAGACTAATAATCTTGCAGCAGTAGTGCAAGGCAGTGTATGAAAACAATGGGCTATTAGGCCTGGACACAGCAGCTGAGCAACAGCGCTGCAAATAGTAACCACTGCTGTGACGACCACGGGGGAAATGACTGTTGCCAAGCAACAACCGGACGCAAGACCATAATGTAACAGTATTACAGGGTGATAAATGGGGCCACTCAATCATTCAAGGTTCTGTGTGTGTGTGTGTGTGTGTGTGTGTGTGTGTATGATTGTGAACATGTGTGTTTTTGTGTGTGCATGTATGTTTGTGTGTAAACAAACAATTGCAGATGTCAAGTCCGTCACATTAAAAGCACAGCACCATGCTTTTTGCCCTCCTTGGCCCGGAGGAGGAAATTACACTTTGCTATTTCCTATTACTCCTTCAAGAGGAAGAAGTCCTGTTATGCAATACCAAAAAGAGCCCTGGAGGAGACTCCCTCAAACATTTACAGAACAATCCTGCAAAATGAGGACTGAGAATTTGATTGCGGTGTTTCTAGTTTTAAGTGCTATGATAAACAGAGCTGGAATTGCCCCCAATTTGAACATAAAAAGGAGCCTTAAGCAAGGACAAAGAAAATAACATAAAAAACAAAACAAAAATAATGTGAATTTACACAGATTTTAAGAGCAAAGAAAGATAAATATAATAATCATCAATCATAACAAAATTAGGACAAACTACACAAAGCTTATGAGTTAGCTCTGCTTCACTCATGCAGCACAAACTTAAGTTTAACAGAGGCCAAGTTAGTCAGTTGCTCCAGATTACAAAACATTTTATTATGTTAACGTAAGAAGAGGAAACAGAGATGGGAGGATCTGGTTTTAACTACACTTTGGTCTAACATCCATTGCCTCTGGTGTTGCTTAATGTTTAAGGGGTTTTTTTAGTAAGATTTGAACATCTTTCTAGCGCTTGTACAGCTCATCATCCCATAACAAACACAACACACCCCGCATGCACACACCCACAGGTGTTTGGCAGCCAGACCAGGTTCCAGAACTAACTGTTCACACTAGAGAGCTGCAGTTACAACAAGAACAAACATTGCAGACTGTACGGTAATACACCTCTGCTGCGTACAGAGAACTGTGATACTGAACTGAGAGACATACACACTTCAGGTACGCATGTATCTGAGTGTGTTCAACATGATGAGAAGGGACTTGCTACAGGACATGTGAGCCCAGTGCTTCAACACGTGTGGACAAAGCTGATCCTTGATGATCACATATGAAACACATCCCACTAAGGCGTGGGACATGTGTGGGACAGCGGATCGAGTTACCACATATGAGCACCAAGACTGAAAGCAAAGATTGCCTGAAAGACACCACTAGAATATCAAACACAAGTGTCATGTGGTTACTTTCTGTTACATTTTCAAAATGCTCACACAAAGCCCTATCTTGTTAAAGGACTGCAACACAAATTAACAGTCTCTATTAACACGCGTGCTTTTAAATTAATGGACTAATCTTGGTTTTATGTTGGGATTTCAATGCATGCTCACATAAAGCAAGAAAGGCAGCAGTATTTTAGAAAAAGACAAAAACTAACCAAGGACAAAACCGTAATTATTTAGGCTGATAAGTGAAAAAGGAGCCTGCAAGTAAGGAACAGGGAACTTAGCATCATGTTTACACACATGCACCACTAACTGAGTGATCATGTATTATTCATAAAGCACTACGTTTGAGTCCAGCAGGTATGGGGTCCAACGTCATATGTAGCTTCCCTAATGACCATGACAACAAATGAGGACAGACAACAGTAATCCACAGACACTGCTACATGTCTTTTTTTTATTTTATTTTTTTTAACTGTTTTACTTCCCCACACGTCCCTGTTGTGTTAAAACCACTCTTCTTCTAGCCTTGTATTTTGAAACTGTGGAGTGAAACTGACAGTGTGAGCACAGTCAGCAAAACTCATCTTAACACCTGAATGCTTTTTAGAGAGAAGGCCGAGGGCTACGTGTCACTGCCTACTCAGGATATGACCTTCCTGTTCTTTCCAAAGAGGACTTAGCAAGAAGATGCATCTGAGCATTTACATCAGTTAGTTGAATAAATGTGCAAAACATGAACTATTGCAGTGCGACAGTGCTAGTGTAAGACAACACCTCTGTGACAAAGAAATCACACCCAGGTGAAGGAAGCCTAACACAACCTGCCTAAATCTGTAAGCATGCTAAGATGATAGCCATCCTTCCTTCCACCTGATCTACTCAACTGAATTATTCACATAGCCCAGTGCTCCATTTTCATTGTGGGAGGTGGTTTTACGTCACCGGCCCCCACAGGACTGAACCGTCACCTCACCAGGCCCTGCTGTGTCATGCTACCATGGCAACAACACATTGGAGCATGACAAGCATTGAAAAGCTTCAGCCAGAGAATTCTACCTACAGAGTTCTGCATATAAAACAAACAAAGTCCAAGTTCGTATCCATTTAAGTACAAAACATTATCATGATGACTAAGCAAGATCTCTGCGACAAGGTTGCACCTCTTTGCTACAGGTGAATAATTCTAGATTCTGCCTGCACGGATTAACCACTTCCTAGACGAACAAACCATATGTCATTTCATCATAAATTACGTAAAATGCATCTTTATGCAAATCTATCCACCATTTTCCTGGCTCCCATGATACCTTTGCGTGAACTACTGGGCATGAAATACAGGCACGACTTCCGGCGCTGAACCAGACATGGCGTTTTCCAATAGTAACGGTACGCTAATCCTTTCTCCTGGAGCGGGAAATAAAACATGAGAACACACCACCTGTAACACCTCAGACTAGTTAATGTGATCAAACCTCTGCCATCTCTGACAGCCACCTCAAAGCATCGGTTGTTTTGCTTTTTTACCAGGCACATTAGCATTTAGCTTGCCTTGCTACATTAACATAATGCTAAATTTAATGGAGCCTGAGCTAGCTCACAGTAAACATCTTCTCCTTCTTAAAGCCAGTTTATGATTTCTTGTGACTCATAGACAGTAACACATTTTGTAGACATGTAACATAATTCTGAAATAATTTTAGCGCCATGTGAGTGCATAAACATGACGTTTCCTACCTAATACTGTTGCTGATTTATTAGAGTGAAGACACAATGCTGAATTTGGAAGCAGACCTCGGTAGTTAAGTAGTAGTAGTGAAATAAATAACTCTAGGCATTCATTTTATATGATATGAAAGAAGTATTGTAAATTAGTAACACATTTTCAGCCTAGATGCCTTGAGGCTACTGAGTTTATTTTATAATGGGCAATTTTTTAATGTAGGTTAAGAATGCAGTCAAACAGGGAAAGACAGAGTTATCACGTGCTGACATAAGGTGACCAAAGACCTGTTATTGTCTTCCGCAAATTCTGATTTAATACTTCTCTGCTCTCAAAACTCTTTTGGTGTTGTTATTTCTGTTGTCATTCCAAGCATGTGAAAACATAGTGTTTAGATGACAGTAAGATGTGCATGAAAATACAGGACAAATCACATCCCGTAATGATTCAGTAAGAGATTGGCATTTTAATTCTCAATACGGGATGATCTGGTATCATAGCTGGGGGTTGAAAACCTATTCCTCTCCTTACCACTACTACTACAAACTTACCACAGTCTGGTTGCTAGTAGGGTCAGAAACACAGAAAGGACATCAGGTGCCAGAAGTCCGCAAAGAGTTTTAGAAAATGCTAATTTGACAACTGTTTAACATCTGTTTAAAAAACAAGGCTGTATTTGCTAAATTGAAGGCAAATTACTTTTGAAGAGATCCATCGTTTAGCAGTTAACCACCAAGATTGCTGCCTCCGCTATCTCACCTTAAGTTGCACCCAGAATCATTTCTACAGTAACGCCCTGAGGAATAAGGTAGATAGAAGAACACAATTTATGACAGTACAAATGCCAATAAACTGGAATAAGCTTTCACTTGAGGACACTTCAAAATGCAAGCAATGCAACTACTGCACATGCTACGACCTGAGTCACAGACACCCCAGTGAGTCAGAGATATGGCTAAATTCATACACAACCACGGTCCAAATCAAATTCTGTTTGAACTTGCTTAAAAACTAATACTGCTGCCAGCAACGCATCTTTTCAGTAAACAACAGCCTAACATATTGAAAGAAAAAGTGTAGTGTATTAATCAAGCATTGCTACTATAAAAGATACTACAGCAACTGCCTCCCAGGTTACTCATTCAAGGTGGCGGCATGCTACAGAATAATGATGGATGGAAATGTACTGACAGGAGGAGTCAAACTGAGGCAAGCCCCACTAGCAGTGCTGCACTGTGGCCTTTAACTCCACTTTGTCAAAGCTAATAACTGAACCATAAGCTGTTTAAATCATAAGTATGCTAGTCCATTAATTATTTTTAAAATCCCCAAGTTCAGATAGACAACACAGACAAAAAAACTACTGAAGCACCTGAGTTATACTTATGCAAACCCTTTTTTAGTATTCATGGCCATGCCGATGTGACATATGTCCCATCAATGTTTGTTATATGGTAGCGGTTAAAAGGCCCAATCTGCTCATTTTTTGAGCATCAGGCAATGAGCATTTTGAGTCTCTCATGTGTTCTTTTACTCCACAAAGGGGACCATGTTGGTAAACAAACCTTTAACAGCACCAGAAAATATTAACAACTTGGATTCCGATGTTGTCTAGCATTGGTCTGTGCATTCAAACTAGTTCAGTTACAGTTTGTGTGGGAGTGATGAATATAACCCTGCATTTATAATTGTGATCTCAGATTGTCTTTAATGAGAATGTGAGGACAACATCAATTTTACTGCCCCTTGGGGTTTTCTTTGTGTCTCTAAAAACTGACTTTGGCATCAAAGCCACACTGCTGGCAATGCTACTACCTATGGTTGTGGAAAATCCAGGGAAAACCCCAGAGCTGTAAAAAAAAAAAAAAAAAAAAAAAAACACCTCCTCCTACCCACTGTGGTGAGGCCACCATTTCTTTACAGCTTCACCGTGGTAACAATACAGTGCAGCCATTATGCAATATGAGCACTGGAGCTGAGGAGACACTGTGTCCTACAAACCACTCTCCTGATAACCTGATGTACAAACAAAATGACACACACACACACACACACACACCGCTCAGGGGCTCAAATTGCGTAATCATATAGATAGGAAAAACAGCACTGTGCAATACAGTGTAGTGACATCGCCCTATGAATACATACATTTACCTAACCAGGCTTTTCAATGCATGATGCACAAAGTAAGCTCCAAATGTGTATATACTACTAGCTGCCGTTATGGATAAACCGACTACCAAACACACTCAAACAAACACACGGCGGAAGGGAGGTAAGATGGGAAGCAAATAAAGACAAAAAGCAGAGGAATGGAAGTGCTGATGTACCACTAAAGGCCAATAAGTTATTGTCTTCACTCTTACATAATCTTGTAAAACCAGTGGCCCTATACTATTTGACAAAAGGCACAAAACAGATGTTTTGCACAGCAAAAGTAATCCAAGAATATAACTGTTGCACACTGCTGGTGGCCAAAGGAAAGTACACCCGGAAGTTACACTACGCAAGATTTCAGGTCAATTGAGCTTTGTGGCCCCTGCTGGTAAAGTTAACAATCTTGACACTCCGTGTTTCCATCCTCAGAGAATCTTTTTAAATCACATCTGAGTTTAGTTATTGTGTAGCATGTTAGGGTACATTGTGTAAACTACATGAAGCACCCTGCCTTGGCAGCTGTTGCACAGACACAAGCACACATACAAGCACACCCAGGCACACACAGGAATGTCTGATGTTTTTTCCTGGATCTAAATGTGGGTTTTCACATACCACATTCTTCCCTGGCCCTCTGTGTCCTGAGTGACCTCCCTAAGATTCAGTGCCAGCCCATTTCAACTGCACTATGATCTCAGCGTTGCCGATGCTACTCAAAGACAAAACACACACAAGCACACATGAACGCACACTCATACACACTTAACCAGGTCAACTGCAGAGCAAAGCCTTTATGTTATGTAACAGCTATAGCTCCACTCTCCTCAGCTCTGAGAGGGGGGCCTCGACAGTGGCATGGTTCGTAAAAAAATGGAGAAGTTGCACCCAGGGTTAACACGGACATTTTGGTGCTCTGAGGCTCTTCGTTTTTACATTTGGTCTAAAGGAGTTTGCTTCAGGACAGAAGGCCCGTGATTCATACACCACAAGCAGAAATTACACTTAAAATAACTAAGAAAATGTGCTCCTTATAGGACAGAGTGTAAGGATGGATGTGTACTGTCTATAGCTGCAGATATACCCAGTATCTCAGCAGCATTTGTCACAAAGTTTTAAGAGTTAGCAACAGTTTATCTGACTCAATCAGCCGACTTGCTGAAACTTGCTTTTTAGAGCATAGGTGAATGAAATTGCCAGCTAGTTGTTCAGAGGTTTATGAAAAGGAAGTACTTTGCTTTGAGACAAGCATAAACGTCATTAAACATGTCAACTGCCACTAACTTCCACTTGCCAACAAGTCCACAATGACTCATCCACAGTTTTCAGCACATTTCAAATGAGAGAACAAGTGATTTTGTTAAATGCATTGTGTGGCATAATGTGAGCTTACGGCTTAATAACGTAAGTTCTTTTGCACAACAATGCGTCTTGAAATTCACAATCCTGTTTGCGTTTCGTAAGCACATTCTCCCTCTCACCCCAGCATTCGAGACATGCCAAATATTTCATGACGCCGTTCCTCGTATAAACATCTCAGTTCCTCTACAAGTTATGCAAGAGCAGCAGAGTTTAGGGCGTGACACGCTGAACACAGATCAGACATACATGTATGCAGGCATGGATCCAAAAACGACAGAAACAGAGAAAGACGTGGGGGGACTATGCACTTCGTGGAGCTCCCTGTGAGAGTGTGCAGGTTAATACAGAGCACTTCACATTACATAAGAAGAGCAAAGGCCTAAACACATAAAGCTGGAGAAAGACTTTACTAAACCCTGTGGGAAACATAGAGACACACACTCATAAACAACTATTACCCATGGGACTAAGTCAGCTAAGTGTGTTGGCATATCACAATGACATGACATTTCACTGCATGACATATCTGATCTTCCTAAAAAGTACTCTGTCCTGTCAATCTAATTGCTGAACATTTTGTACAATTTGAAACCTGCCAAGTTCCCTCTGAGGTGTGCTGCTTTTTCTTTCTAGTGGTTGTTTTTGGTTTCTCTAGAAACAAACCTGGCTAGAAGTAAAAATAAAATACATTTCACTTTCACCTGTGGGCTGTTTCTTCTGGGTCAATAGTGTAATGTGACCTATGTCTTATCTGAAATTCCTAAAAAACCTAATCAACTATAAACTGCCAATCTGTAATCTGGCCTCCACGCCTGAGCGAAAAACAACAACAATTGCCCATGTTTTTACAGCACAAAAAAGCGATTCTTACACAGTAACACCAAATATACTAGATCCTCAAAGCAAAGTTTCAGAACAAAATTAAACATGGTAAATGGACTGCATTTATGTAGCACATTTCTAGTAGGGATGCACCGAAATGAAAATTTGTGGCCGAAGCCAAAGCCGAATAATATTAAACGCTTGGCCAAATACCGAGTTCCAAATACCGAATATTGTTGTTTAGTTTTTCACTAGTTTTTGCAGATGAACCCCCTCCAGATTAGTGTTGTCACGGTACCAAAATTGGATCCCACTGTACGATACCAATGAAAATATCATGGTTCTGAGTAGTATCACGATACCACAGCGAAAATGAGGCAGATGTGCCTTTTGTCATTTATAAAAAGATCACTTTTCTATAATATATTCAATGGAATAAATTACTTGCTGACTTATTCATACTTCAAAAACAGCATCAATGAGTGATGAACATAGAGGGGATCAAAATAAAATAAATAAATAAAATAAGAATCAACCAGCCACCCTCCTCCCCTTCATAAGTAAAGAACAGTCCCTCCATAAGTAAAGAACAGTCCCTAAAGTGCGGTGAGGTTTGTGGGCCGTGAACGGCTCGTTTCTCCTCTGACACGTCACATACCTGTGTTCGGCTGGCTCAGCTGTTCAGATACTTCTGGGCAGTCCACACGCCAAGAAGAGGACATTATGGGAGCCAACTTCTCCGCGCCGGTAAGCCAATGGCCACCATATTTGACAGGAATACATTACTGTCTGTGTCTGTGACCCCCGTTCAACCCACAATCGGTGGGATTCGCCTTTCGTTTCTGCTGCTGGTTGAAATCTGTAGGCTGCTCGCACAGCGTGCAGAATGATTTAAGCCTATTTTGCTCGCTCAAAACTATTTTTAGTCGCAAATACAAGTGCGGTGACGGACGGATCGCCACACTGCCGACATTTTACTCGGCCCGTCACGGCACGCTGTTTGATCGCATTATCAAAACACGCCGCTATTATTCGGCCTTGCTTTTAACTTATTCCACCGAATACCGAATGTGTGTTTTTTTGCAATATTCGGCCGAATATATTCGGTTACCAAATATTCAGTGCATCCCTAATTTCTAGTCTTAGCAACCACTCAAAGTGTTTTACAACACAGACACCATTCACCCACTCACACACAAATTCATACAAAGGTGACCAACGCTAAGCAACAAGGTGCCACCTGCTCATCAGATAACATTCTCACGTACACACTCAGCAATTTGGGGTTCAGTATCTTGCCCAAAGACAATCTGACCTTCCGATTGGTAGATGACCCCTCTACTTTCTCAACCACAGCTGCCCTGACACTGTGCTTATCCCTGGATATGGGATAGATAACTTAACTATGCACTTCCTCATTGTAAATATGGCATTTGGGTTGTAAAAATGTCACTCTGAATCTGTAGTCATTTCTGAACTGGCAAAAGCCAGCTGAATGAATCTACCCAATCACAGCAAATTATTTTTGTGGGTTTTAAAAACAGCTTTGATAAGTAACAGAGAACAAACATAACAAAACAAGTGTTAAAAAATATGAACAAGTATGTCAGTCAACTCAAGCATCACCCACTGCAGGGTGGACTTGGCTCCACTAGTTTTGAATTTAGTGAATGATGGATTATACAGAGATCTGACTGAAGGCGGAATTACTCACCTGTAGTATCTGGACTGCAGATAAGTGGAGCAGACAGCCTTGGAGACATGGCTGGCTGAGCCAAAGTCAATGACCTTGACTCTGTAGGGCTGCCTGGAGGGGTCCACCAACATGATGTTCTCTGGCTTCAGGTCAGCATGGATCAAACCCAGACACTTCAGCTTCTTTAAGGCCGTTGCCACCTGCAAAGTTTTACATACATAAAAGCAGACATGTCAAGCCTCAACAAAACACTGTCTTCTATGAGCGTGGGTACTGTATCTGCATGTATGGGTTATATCTGCACGTCTGCAACATATGTCGCTTTACCTGCTGCAGAATGGGCCTGATGATTTTGAGTGGCAGTGGACTAAACTTATTCTGTTTGAGGAAGTCATAAAGATTTTGCTCCAGCATCTCAAACACCAAGCAGGTGTGGCTGCGGTGCTGAAAGCACTCCAGAGCACGCACCACATTGTGCTCATCTGCATTTTCGCTGCTCAACCGGGCCAGGATCTCCACCTGGAGGTTCAGGAACAAGAGAGAAAATAACACAGGTTCAGTTCAGACCAACAGAGCATAAAGCAAACACTTCTTTGGCATCTAGAAAGATTAATCAGTCTCTGTCGAAATCAAAAATAGCAAAAGGAGCAGTGTTTCTGTTGTCATGTGCTGATGTGACACCCCAACAAAATAGCAGTAACAAGCAACTAGGCCACCATAGAAGCACTTTTTTTAGTTAATCCACAATTTCAACTACAACACTGAAGATACATTTTCTCTATTAACAAAACAAAATGACACAAATGCTCACCTCTATCTGTCCCTGGCGTGCATAGGATGGATGGTTCTTTAGTATTTTAACAGCCACCACTTCATTCGTTCCCCTCTTCCAGCACTTAACCACCTGACCAAAGGTGCCACGACCCAGAAACTCCAACACCTCATAGCTGTTCTTCAAGGAGCACAGAACCTCGTGCTGAACTAACTGATAGTCACCATCTCCTGATCCAGTTCTCGTCACTGTAGCTCCTGCCACTGTCTCAGTGCTGCCATTAGGCCTGATTTCGGTCCCATCCACCCTGATTCCCATGCCGGTCACGGCCTCAACCCTGCTGTGTTGAGAGGGCAGTGTCCCTCCACCCCCTACTCTGACAGTGTCTGCATTGTTCCCGGTGCTGGTTTGCAACATGGCCACAGGGGGAGGAAGTGAAGGTAGAGCAGATACCTCCTCCACTATCTGCATGGTTCTGACGCAGTTGTTCGCCCGCAGATGTTCTCCACCTTCACCTTCCTTCTGTTCACATCTCTGTGTGGCACCTGTGTCTACAAGGCTGACGTATCCTCCTACTGCTTGTACTATCCTGTTTATGCCCTCTTCCTCCTCTGCTCTGATACAGGCCCTCCTTAGTATCCCGCAGTCCAAGCCTCCTCCTGATGGAGTTCCACCACTGTCTCTACGAAGCCTCACTTCCTGTGGGCCTCTGCTCTGGCAAAGAGACTCCTGGATCCCAGCTGGACCTTCTCTTTGCCTCTCCCAGCTCTCTTGTCTCTGTAATCCTACAGTCTGCAATCCCCACTCCTCCCTCTCTCCAAGCTGTAGTCCCCTGTGAAGTCTTGCTGAATCAGCACCGGTTGAGGATGGGATAACGTTGTTGGGATAGGCAATACCGTAGTTGACTCCGATCACATAGGTCTTGGACGTGGGTCGGTGCTGAAAGGCTCTGCTGGTGTTATTACTGCGGTGAGCTTCGTCTTTGTGTCTGCTCGTACCACTGCTGCTGGTTCCTAAGGCACTTGTCTGAGCTGAGTGCAGGTGTGATGGGTAGACCAAGACTTGTGAGGCCATACCTAAAGGAAAAAAATAAATAAAACACAGCCCACATGTATCAGTTTAGTCCAGCAAAGTTGACAAAATTAAGTTTTTAGGCTTAGGATTTATCTACAAGTTTACTTAACATGCTGAAATAGCTTACACAACTTGTAAATATTAAGATGAAACATTGCTTAAAATCATGGTACAAACACTCGACTAACCACAATATTGTGTCCAGAGAAGCAAAGTGGTTAAGAGCAAAGTAGCACCTTCCCTATCACCAAACTCCTGAGGTCTAAACTGTGGTCTAAATAAAGCAATCATAAAAGCTGCCAAAGCCAATACACATCTAAGCCATCATGTCATCCTTACTGGAAAGGAGAACTGGCTCACTGTAATCGGAGATGGGGGAAGCCCATTGCATCTCTGGCCTGTCCCTGCAAGCTACACTGAAGGGTCAGTTTCACACCAAGTAGAACCGCAAAGCAAGCAGTACACCATGGGGAAATGATACATCATGCTCTGTAACTCAGTGACATTTTGCACATACACCTATGCACTGAAACAACTGTCAACTGATAGCATTGATTAATAAACCCTTCTGTCTGTGACTCTACTGAAATACTGTGTAATGAGCTATACATATTACTATTGTCATTGTTAACAAATAAGATGACAACCAAGCAACATCCTCAGCTTTGATCCATTTCAAAATAGAAGTGTAACAATACATCAATCTGGATCAATATGTTGATTCCATGATCAGCTATGTAACATTATTAATGCAACGTGAAAATATCCCATACAGATCATCATCTTTAAGATATATGCCTTTATTTTGAAATTCATTTGGCACGTCTGTGCCACCATTTGCATCCCAGAACACCTTGTTCCTAAACATTCAAACAAGGCTAGTGGCGTAGCGCCAGGCATATAATGGTAGGCAGCAAGGAAAAAGACAATGAGGATATTTACTGATATCATCTCATATTGATTACAGGCCACTGAATTAAACTGAATTGCAACCATATCATGGCACACTTTGTGATCTCAGCAAATATTGTATCACTGTCCAAAGAATCTTTATGACATTGTATCGTGATGCAACTTGTATTTTACATCCTTACTTCAAAACCCAAACCTGAGTTAATCAAATGCTGAAATACATTCAACCAAGGGAGCCCACTATGACCTGTTCTGGCTGCTGTTTTAGTTTATGGCATGTGCACTGTACAGCTGATTTAAATGATATAGTCATTTTCAAATGAGTCTACAGAATGGAAGTACTTGTTTATGTATTCAAATCGCATTTCTAAACAATATTCAAACATTTTAACCACAACTTTACATCTTCTTTTTAAAGTGACCCAAGTCTGACATCTGAAGTGTACACTCCAAACAACCCGCATGAATACATGAATATGGTTCAGATGTCTTATAAACACAGTCAAATCATTATCTACAATGGACAAATGAAAGAGAATGGTCCTGTCTTTAGCCCCTGGTAAGACACTAGTATAGTTACTAACTCTATCTGATAGTAGGAGACACAAAAAGAGGAAAAAAGCACAGGCAATTCAACCTAATAAAAGTGACCAGGAAACTCAGATCTGTGAATTTAAATACAAGTTTCTTTTGCGATACCAAATTCATGGTGTGTTTAATGATACCATATGTGATACAAATGTTGACCAAACCTGAGGAAAACAATAGAAACATCAAACCCATGTGTTTTTTCAACAGCTAACAGTCTATATTATCTGATCATTGCCACACGTGCCAGTCATGTAGGTCTGTGGCTATAGAGACAACTTGCTTTCATTTGGCTGATAATATGAAATGGAGAATGTCATAGTTAGGGTGTCACACATGACAAAGTATATCAAACTTTCAACAATAAACAATTATTTTTAAATGTTATTCATTACTTTCAAGTTTTTCTCTCAAGTTTTTTTAAGGATCATTCCTCTCCTTGCAGCAAGTCATGGCACCGTGAGAAAAGGCAGAGGCCAAGTCTGTCAGGCACACTTCCTGAATATTTCCAAACAGAGACATAGACTGTGTCTGACTGGGCCAACAACACTCAGGTCAGGTGATTCCAGTTTTAACGCTACTTCACACATGTTACAAAAACACACTCGTGAAGCTGGTTGTCTAAGGCACAGCGTTTTGTTCTACAAGAAAGGCCTGCTAAGAGCCAGTAGCCTTCCTAACTTCTGACGCCTTCACACACAGGCTCAGACAGGCCAAGGGGTGTGCCTCAACGTCAACATGGCAATACAACACACTTCATTTCTCATGACTTGTAGGGCTGGTGAGTTTTATCTGATATGTTGCTGACAGAAAATAACAAACTCTGTTATGAGCCAACTTTTCTTTAAACCATTAACTTCCTGATGCAACTGACAAAAGTCACTTGCAATAAACAAGAGAAGCACCAATATGACTGGTGTGGTCACGGTGCAAATGATTCACCCTCTGTATGCCTGGCAAGGTGTCATACCCATCAGTCAATAAGGGATACTGGCATAGGCACAGCTGTGATACCTCCTGCTCTATCCTCTCACTGCCAACCTAGGAAGCTTGATACCCCAAAGGGCTACAAGATCCAAGCCTGAAATGGAGAGCCATGACACAGACGTGTGTTTGTGCATGTGTGTGTGGTGTGTTTCAGTGTTGTAAAGAGTGCCAGCTGTATACGCAGTTTGTTACTGATCAATCTAGGAGACAGTTAACATATGGGAGGGGTGGTGTGTGTGTGTGTGTGTGTGTGTGTGTGTGTGTGTGTGTGTGTGTGTGTCTGAGGGAAGGGCAACACCAGCCTAGACACCTGTTGAAACTTATGTTACAAGTGACAGACAGCATAATAATGGGTGTGTTATACTTTGTGGAATAGGTCAGAAGTGACTTAAATGTAGCTTAAACAACCAAACTGGCCAAGTTACACTTAACGTTACTGTAAGGCAATTGTTTTTGTCTTTTTATGGTTGCCCAATCGTAACATTTTGGCTATTTCCATATATTTTCATGGTAACAACGTCTCACAAAATACTTAGTTTAAGTTACTCGAAATCAAAATACAAACAAGTGCAAGCTCTCAATAGACCCCTGAATAACAGCAGTTCGCTGTTAGCTCAAACTAATTAGCTTTCGCTGCTAACACTTGTCTGCAAAGGGGAACAAACTGAAGTTGGCTAGCTTACCAGTTAGCAAACACGCTAGCTACGAGCGAAGTCATTTCAACGTTAAAATGATATAACAGACTAACATAACCGTAATACTGACAACGTGTTTGACAACCAGTTGAGTTAGATATAATGACATACCTTCAGTAAGACCTATAAATTGTATCACCCAGAGCGTCAAGGAACAGGCTAGCAACGAGGACCCGCACCACAGTCAAATCCTGCAACGATGCTGCTGCTGCTGTTGCTGCTGCTGCTGCCATCTTGTTCAACGACGAGGAGAGACCAAGCGACTTTTCACACATTTGAAGCTTCAAATTAACGCAAATAACTCGCTATTCCGAAAGCCAGCCACGAGCCATGGTTTCCACAGCCGTCCCAGGTTTCGTCGAGCGTCGCTCCTGTCTCTATTCAGGACGAGGAATCGGTGTTTCTAAACTTTTGCATGTTAATACGCCGCGTCCCCGACAAAGATAGCTGCTGGCCGCTAGCTGTTGCTGCTGCTGGTTCGGTAGCTTGTTGCTTCTCCGCATGTGTGGAATGTTGGGGAGGGAGGAGGGACAGACAGTGAGTCTATAAATGTCACACTGTCACAACTGAGTAAAAACATTTGACTTCCATTATGTTTGAACGTTACTCCATTAGATAGGCCTACAATTAGATTTAACAGAATAAAAGTTTTTTGTGATGTGTTTATTTAATCATCTTCTGAACTGGATTTAATCATTCATATGAATTTACTGAGCTCCTTCAAAATCTGCCTACATTTGTCCAATTATTGAACTATAGCTCATATTTTCATGCACATCGCTGGATTTGGACAGCTGTCCTGTGTCTACAGTTTCACTGCATATCAGCTTACTTTTGGTAATTTGATTATTACAATATCATAAGGGAATTTTTGCATGAAATTTGATATGAACCGAAGATGGTTCTACATTAATGCTGTGACTGTGTCTTTTAGACGGGAAAGTACTAGTCATTTTTTGTTTTTATTGTGCTGGCATTGTGCATAATTCCAAATAAAACTTCATTTATTCAAATTGCTACAAACAAACTGGTGCAAAGAAAGCCAGGTAGTGTTACACAAGGAAACTGGTTGTTTTGGGGTTTCTGGTGCACTGGTGCTGCCATAGCACCCCAACACACCAGGAAGTAATTGAATGCAGACATCATTGTCTTTAAGAGGCTGTGGTGCATTTCTTCTTCCTAAGCTACCCTGGAGGTAGTGGTGGAATCTCTTGACACTAGACAACCAGCCCTAAGGCATACATCAGTACCAACCATACCAGTATAGCTTGTCAGAACGGTGGCTAAATAACAGTCCAAATTAGGTCCAAATTTTGGTGAGGGAGCAACAGGCATAGCCATTTTCTAAAAGGTCCCTCAAACTCTGACCTCAAGATGTCTGAATGATAATGGGTTCTATGGTTACTCACAAGTCTGAACCTAAATTCAAGAAGGCTTGTTCCAGGAAATGTTTTGTTCCCACAGTTGCATGCTTTCAACACAAAACTGACACACAGTATTAAACCATGACAAAAGCTTATTCAGAGCTAACGTGAGTAGACAGTATAACAGCAAATACATATTATATTTTCACATCATCTTTTAGTAATGTGGACACCAAACACAATCAGGTAGTGACACTAGCCTTTGTGAGATACCAGATACTTTCCTTGCTCTTGAGCAGTGGTGCCCCCAAAAGAGGGGCCACAGTTGCTGCATTCCTCTTTGCTAGCGCAAAGGTAGTGGTACTGTGACAAACTAAGGCATCCATTGGTACCCACCATGTCAATACAGCTTGTCTGGCAGGAGGCTAAATAACACTCCAAAGTTAGGTTCAATTTTTAAGGGAAAAACAGGCATGGCCATTTACAAAGGGGTTCCATGAGCTCTCATCTCAAGACATTTGGATGAACATGGGTTCCATGGGTACCCACGAGTCTCCCCTAAACTTGAGAGGGCTTGTTCCCAGTAAATGTTCTGGTCTTTTTAAGGAAAGGGACAACCAGTGTATCTAAAGAACCATGAACCACCAAAAATATATAGATACACAACACATTAAAACCAGATTGTTGTGTGACTCAAAATGTTAACTGTCTGTGCACATCAGATAATTAGTAATTTTAAGTGTAAAATAAGAAACCAAAGTATATCTGTCTGTGATTCCTTAACACTCCATGTTTACATAGTTTTTTAAGCAGCCTAACATTCAGTTATTGCTTTTGGTTTTGGTGTGCCACCCCAAAATTTTCAGTGGCCCCATCAGGCCATCCCTCTGAAAAAAATCTTGGGGCACTGCTGCTCTGTTGATGTGGTAAACATGACATATGCAGCCTGTTGTGTTGTGTCATGGGAAGGCAACAGGGTACAAATAGTACAATGGCAATAGTCATACCAATACAGCAAATTTGAGTTTGAGAGAAACAACGATAATTCGTATACACTTAGTTTAAGTGTTATTTACTGAGGGTATAGGATCGGTAATGTCAAACCATTCAGTGAAATGTGTCGAGAATGTAAGGGAAGGGTCTTGCAGGACTTTTTCACAACAGACATTTTGACTGTGTCACTATTACTAATATCATTTTCTGTACTTTTACTGTGACGTGTCAAAATGTCACCTGTGAAAAAGCACTACTAAATTATGAAGTCTACAAAACTAGAAAGGCGGGCATGTTAGGCAGAGATAGTCCTGTCATTGCCCTTACATCAGGCACTGGCCTAACTGCAGTTGGTATTTGGGTCTTGCCACGTAACTGCCCACTGACTGGGTCAAATGCAGAGAGGGCCTTTCACCACTGCTCAGTAAAGTAGAACTTCATACTCTCATGTAGCTTACAACACTGCCACCCATAATTAAATCATATTATGCCGTCAAATACTCGTAAAGCACAGGGCCCCACTGCTAAACAGAATTTAACAAGTGTGGACAAACGTCTCACTGAATCAGAAAAACGTGCAAGAGCATTGTTTGTTGGAGTAAGACACACATGCACCATCCAGGAATGCAAAGCTGAACTGGGCCAGCTTTGCATTTTAATTGAGTTGCACAAAAGATCATTAAAATTTCACGACACACACGCACACACACACCTCCTAAACTCGCACCTTCGAGGAGAGAGTTGCCACAGTCAGCTGGGCACAAAGCTCAAAGACATCCTGCCCCAGCACACACACAAACACAGATAAAAACTGAATGAATGTTTTTCTTTTTTGACATCACAGACTCAAACAAATTCATTGTTTTTCAGGACTGTACGTGTGAGCAATACAACAGACCATAATCAAATGTAATACTTTACCTCTTTCAAAATAAATTATCTAGCTCCCAGGGGACAGCAAACTCTTAGGATGTTTGATTCACCCTGTCTCATCACGTTGCACTTATCAATCATCATTTATTTGTCACATGGAAACTATACATAGTACAACTCCAGTGAAATGGGAACTCGACCTTTTACAGTCAATGGGCCATCATCAAATGAGTAATTTAGAAATATGCCCTTGTGGAGTGAAAGTAACAATTCACTTGTTGCTCATTAGCGCCTGCTATGCAATTATTCTGCTTCTAGTTACTTGGAAAGATACTAGAATATACTAGAATCTAGTGTATTCATGATAAACTGTTCATAAGGTTAATTGGAGTTCTGGCTCCACCTAGTGTCATATATGTTAACTACATGCAAGCAGTATGGTGAAGATACTGATGGGTCCTCCGTTGTTTTCACACAATATTCGTATAGTTGTGGAGAAGAAGCCCACAGAAAGAAGTGAATGTCACCTTATAAACCTATAGAAGGTCATTAATGTAAAATGATCTAATTGTTTATTTCAAAAAAGTGAGTTTAATGTAGAACTGCATTACCCAGTTTCACCTGGCTCTCTGAAGTCACTCAGGCCAAAGAACCATTAGATCCCTCTAACCAAAGCCAAAACTCAGCCGTGTGGGACAAACAATGCTTTATTGGCATGTTGGATGAACATTCAAAGACAAATATCAGTGTAATTGATGGGACCAGTCAATGAACATGTGTCAGTCATTTGGGGAATAGGCAATGTCTGCGTGGAGGAGAGAAGAAACATTACAACTACTATAAGTATTCTGTGGTAACCACCTCAAGTGTGTAAAACATTAACCAAAGCAAAGTGTTTGTCAAAACTAAATATTCTTATCATCTTATAAACCGTCAGAAATGTTATAAATAAGTGAACATATATCAAAAACCAAGTAACAATTAAAGACAGCAACAGTTCATGTTGGTTCATAACACCAGTCTGGCTTTCCTTGAGTACACATCAATTTATCCTGGTCTTTTCCCTTGTATCTAATATACTGTCAAATATCTTGGAAGAAGAACTGTCACATATAGTGGATACAAAAACCAGGGGCTCCGTAGTATGGTCTAGCCCACTGCTTCTTTTCAGATCTTTTAATTCCTTATGAGCCAGTACAGAGGTTCAGAGGCGATGCATTTCGATAAACAAGCTGTGTTCAAAACATTCTCTTCCAGTTTTAATTTAGGCTGGTAGAGACTCCAAACAGACTTGGTGAAGATGCTTCCTCTGAGCATCTACTGGTCCATGTGCACAATTACAAATCTAACATATGATTTCATGTTTAATACACTGGAAGAAATGCATACCCAAATAATTGTACTCATCCAAGTAAATCTGATAAACCAAACAAGAATGATTTGATTTCAAGTAAAGATGTAAAGGTGTAACAAGTCTTTGTATCCACTGTATATCTTACAGTTGTGGTGTCAAAGACAGCATGCAGTCAGCTGTTGTCTAGTTCATTCTCTTTTACTTGGGTGAGCTGGATGTGTCACTAGCAGAGTTTGAAAACTGTCACGACCCTAAAGCTGTTACTGAATATGGAAAAACGCTCCGCCAAAAATTCTATGACCGATGCATATTTTGCGCTACTGTCTTCGGAGTAATTTGTCCCAATTTATCAATGTCTTAAATTAGGAAATAACTCCCAGCTCTGCCAGTATTTACTGTAGGAGAGCCCAAAAGGGGTTTTACCTGGTAAGAGTTGTCAGCAGATACTAGTGAGGCACATTCTGCTCAAGGAGAGTTGTTCAGGGAAAACCTGATCTAGGTTATATGCTATTCCACTTCAACTACATCCTTTGTAAACTTGTGTGCCCTTAGGTAAGAGGGAACATTTTTCATAAATACCATGGCCCTGCCAAATCTAAATGAATACACGAATGAAAAAAAAACAGTTATTTGCATTAATGCGGCTTGTTTTTCCATTACTTCAGTTTAAGTGGATTACTGTAAAATCTAATTATTTATTAATGTCAAAGTGGTTGGTTGTAATTTCGTGACCTGCGTGTGTTCCACTTTGCATCCTGTACAAGTTAAATAATACAAATGTTTCAGTTTCTGTCAAAATGGTATCTTTTAAAAGAATAGTTGCACATTTTTTGGGATATAGGATTATTCCCTTCTAGCAGGGTTAGATAAAAAGATCAGGTACAGTTCCTGCAGTCTTGTTGATTCGGTGAGTTTTCTAGGCCAGTGGCTTCCAACCTTTTGCCTTTAGGGACTCCTTTTCTATCATTGAGTAAACGAATAAGCATATTAATGTGCAACTTTCTCTTAATAATTTTATTGTCATCAAGTGTTCCTCAGGCTTCTCTCCTTGCATGGAATGTGCCTGCATGTCTCTGCCTGAACGCTATCTCCCTGCAACTCCTGACAGGTTCACACACCTCTTGCGCTCCCTTAAAGACACAACTACCATGGGTCTAGGTTAAGAACATTAATAAAGGACTGAAGACGAATCACACTGAGAACTGTTGGCCAATGACGACTAATATCCTGATAAAGGCTTTGATCCTTTGTCTTGCTGACTTAAACGTTAATTCAATTTCTTAGAATTAAAGTCATATTTTGTTACTTTTAAACTACATGACCGTTTTTTTTTTTGTTTTTTGTTTTTTGCAGAAAGAAATGTGTTTCTACTCTGCACAGTATAGTTACCTGAACACTAAGTATAGTTTAGTACTGGTTCTAAAACACGGGTATTGTATTGACTTGGATATCATGCTATTTTAATGATACCCAGCCCTGCTAGTAATACTGAAAACAACTTAATGCAAGATGGCTGGATTGTTATGAGGCCTGAGATTTTATCAAAGAAGCAACACTGTGAGTTAATGAAACTGAGATGGCAGCCAGCATTTTTAGATTATGGTGGTTTGTGGTGCACACTCTAGGGGGCTGGCTTTACCCGCTGAATACAGATCAGCTTCCTCAACTCGTTTCTCTAAATCTTAACCGTTACTAGTGAGGGGAAATTGCAAAACTACAGACCACTCTCCACATCACTCTTACTTGCCATGTCAGTGTTTACGTGTCTGTGCTGGGACTCTCCCCTGCTGACACTATTTTATGAAGAATCTTCTGGTAGAACGGGGAGAAGACCAGCTTGTTGAAGTTGACGAGCCGACTGAAGCGAACAGCGAGCTCCTTCAGCTCCCTGCTGACCGGAGCCAGGCCTCCTGGGAGAGGAGGAGGGGTCTTATGTTGACTGGACTCCAGGGAAGCCAGGAGGTAGTTCTGAACCCGAGACTCTGGAGGGAAGGGAAAAGAGAGGAGATCTCAGTCAATGCCAAATAACTGTTCGCATAAATCACACAGTCAACCACGAATTATTGGCTGTGCACAGACCCCTGAGAGTCATCATACATGCCACCCTTCTTACCCATCAGCTTGCGGACTGTGTTGTCTGGCTGGATGGTTGCTGATATTTGTCCCTTCAGAGTGCTCTTTCGGTCAGCTGAGAATGGAGAGTAGCCGTGTTGGCTTAGACACTGACTCAGCTCAACACACAGTTTCTCCCCAAGGGTCGCTAAGGCCTCCTGTGCACTAAAAGACCTTTGGACAGGCAATGAGGAAGAATTTAAACATAGCAACACAACTTGTAAAACTGGCACAAACTAAAGGCTGCATTCACTGATTTTTCTCTTTTTTTGTTCACTTAATGGAGTAGAACAGGCTACAAACACAACAGTAGCCCCTTTTACACTGCCTGTTCAAGACAGGAATTTGGGCCAGTATTTGACTTTGCCGTTCTTTTCTAAAAGGTACGATTGAGGAATGGGAAACAGAGTTGTCTCAACTTTAAGGCAACAGCTGAGGTAGTGACAGTGCTGAATTGACATCTGTGTAAACCATGGACGGGACAGGATGGGTTTGGATTGGTGTGAGGTTTTGATAATGTGATATGTGCGACTCATACCCGGAAGATTTAAAAAGCAGCTGATACCAGTTAGCATCTAACTCAAAGAAGAAGAACAGCTGCCAAAAATATCTTCAAATTGGGAAAACAAGGAGTTCTAGGAGCTCCTTACCCTCCAAGCAGAGGAGATCAACCCCCATATAACAGGGACAGTAACTGATTGTTACTGCCATGTTATATGATTGTTAGTTGTTATTGTTATTAAGCACTGCTGACATGTATGTTGTATGTCACACAAGAGGCCGCTGCTGTTGATGAGGCCATTTGCATTTTCACGTCGGCCACCGTAGTTCTCAAACACGCTTGGCACACAGGGAAAGTTTTCGTTCTAACCCCACTGCTTGATGCCACTAAATCCTACACACTAGACCTTTAAAACAACAATGCCTGGAAGAATATCAGCTCTGAACTCAGGATTTCTGGTGAGTATGCTTTGATATGGTGCTGGTTTTGGTTACTTAGTAACTTTAAATGCTACCCAGCGTAAGTGCCTTTGAACTTTGGCACAGAGAAGGTACAAGAGTAGTACGCAGCACCCAACCTCATGTGGTATCTTAGTTGAAGAAAACCCTTTGTTTTACCAAAATAAATTCAGCAATGTCTGAAACATAAAGATAAATCTAGTCCTCACCAACAAGCAATGTACAATCAAAACAATGTAGCTTTACTAAACATAGGTATGACAATCAAAGCACTGGTACTCACGGTATGTGCATGTCTGCAAGCATGACGTTGACAGTGTTTTTCAGAGTCTCCATCAGCCCTGGCAGGCCTGAGATAGCCTCTCCAGTGGTAGTGTAGATGATGAGTAGCACAGAGGAGAGAAGAACTAATTGCTCGGCCTCCTGTTGCATCTCCTGGAACCGAACCTGATCCATCAACACTGTCTGTAGAGACGAGAAGAAGAGGAATACAGTTTAAACACAGATGAAATATTAAAAAACATCACAAGGGGCAGAATGCATTAAAAAAGATAATTAACAGGACGACACAATGACAGGCTTCTGGATTCATTGTGTTTACCTCAGGGAAGGGATCTGAGGCATGGTCCCATCTCAGCAGGCGTAGATAGGCGTGATTATGGACATTAACGGGGAGGAGTGAGGGAGAGTCAGAGGAGGCAGCACTGGAACCATCCCCTCCGGCCTCTCTCAGGCATCTCACTGTGTCCTCAAGCCACTTCTCAGTGTAGTCTAAGGCATCTAAAGAACAGATCATGTGGGGCAAATTAATAGCAACTTCTTCAAGTAGGACGCTCCATCATTCCTCCACAAAAGTCAACTGCAGATACTTCTGTTTCTGCTTGTTTTATATATGTAAATGAGATTGTACTGTACTTCATTTCATGTAGTATGTCAGGCACGTCAGCAGAGATGCTGTATGATGCTTAAGCAGAGGAGAGAGAAGCAAAAGTAGCTAGAGCAAGTCATAGTTATTATTATTAATGTCCTTACTTTGCTTTACCCAATGTGCAAACTCTGTGGCAAATCAAAGGATTTCATAAACACCCCATTTTGTTTCAGGGTGGGCCATAATTGGCTAGCTGCTGCATCACTGCAATGCTACAAAGAAATTGCATCTTTATTGTAAAGCACTGTAGGGTGATCAAGCCTGTTTATTCTGGATTCACACCAATGAACTTTCACTCAGCTTCCTGACATCAAAGACGAATCGGTGACCAACCACTGGGTCACTTCAGAGACAGACTCAGCCACATGGTATGAAAGGTGTTTCAAACGTAACTTTATTATTTAACACGTTGGTGTCATGCAGGAAGAAGAGGAAGACTCAGCACCAGGTCCCCTATGGTACAGACGACTGTGTGTACTGTATGTTAATGTGATAACACCTTTCCCTGCAGTTGTCTTTTAAGAGGAAAGACAGAAATGTGGATTCCAGGAACCAACACGTTTCAATTGTAATTTTATGTTTCGCCTTTCTTTCTATTTCAGTGCATATACATACACATGTACATATATATATGATGTTATAACAGGATCACCATGTATAACATTTAAATCTGAATTAGTAGTGTCTGTTGACCACTTATTTATAAGTTGGTAATATCCTGTTGCAGACGATGTGTGTTTGGTACCATTCAATAGCAGACAGCGCCTCGTTGGTAAATATGGAAACGTTAGAAATGTTCCAAGTTTCATTAACCATCTAGGAAGCAATTAAAGTAAATTAAACTTTAAACTAAGCAAACGTACAGGAGGGGAGGAGTGAAATGTCCCGCCAGTGACAGTGAACTGCTCCTACTGGACATCAGCCTGAGAAGACAGCTGGCAAGGCCAATCACAGCACAGAGGCCGGAGCCTGCCTGACAGTCTCAACCCCTTGGAATAATTATAAGAGAGTGAGGTTAGAGAGAGAGAAAAAGGAACAAAGAACTTGAAGAAGAACTTTTGAGAAGCTGGCGGGCCATGCTGGGCTCCATCCAGCGTGACCCGCTGGGCAATTCCATGACATCCTGGGCAGAACTGAACATGCTGAAACCCAACAGAAAGAACTTTATGCCACACGGTCTGCCTAACTCCTGCATCCTGGACCAACAAGGTCAGGACTGAAGAAAGGCAGACTCCTGCATACCCACACTGGGTGTGTGAAGATGACCGGCATGGAGGGCCAAGATCATCCGAGCCAAAGTTGCCATGTGGCCTCAGGAACGCCCAAAAGCGCCCAAAGGCTCCAGGAGTTCGACTGAGGAGAAGAGAGGGACCAGCTGAGCGGGCTGCCCCGTGGGACAGCACCAAGAGCGGTTCACACCAAGGAGCAACGCTGCCTTTTCCTCTTCCCCCTCCAGAGCTTCTTCTTTCTGGTCTGCTACAACTCAGGTGAAACAACATCATTTTCCTTTGCTGGGGTTTGATGCGTAGTTTAAGTATGATAGGGAGCATTAGATAAAACTAGGATCTCCCCTAAGTTTTCAGATGTTTCCCTTTTTGCTTCCCATGCCTCTCAGCTGTTGAATGATGCTTTTCACAGGTCCATGTCAAAGTTTCCTCTGCTAATTATCTTACCATTGCTCACTGCTTCATCTGGTTCACTCTGGTCATTCGTTCATTCATTCATTATGCATCGCTGTATTCATTTCATTCCACTCATAGTTGCATTTACTCATTGTCTTGTTTGTTGTTAGTTGTATTGCATCTTGGTCTTCTGTGTCAGTAGTTAGAATAAATGTTTGTCTATAAAGTCATCGTCTTGGTTTTCTGTAGGATTACATTCAGTCACTTTACGGGTGCAAAGATTCTGGCTACTTGAGCTTTATTTGAATTGACAATTGATAATTAATAATTTCCCCAAAGTGCATTAAACATTTTTGGCTGATCAACAAGAGGTGTGGTTTTATTAGTCTGACTATGAAATTATATCGCTGGACGAATAATTAAAGTGGTTATGTTTAATAATTATTATTATTACACGGCTCTATTAAATGCTGTATTCTGATTGGTCAGTCGCGGCATTCAGCGGTCTGATATGTTGCTATGTAGCCCAGCGTTGAAGTGAAGTGGCTGATTTTAACATTTCTTTTAACTTATTTGGAGAGTAGCTATAAGGATTTTGAGGAATGGGATGCAACTGAAGAATAAGAATAAGGACTTTCTCTGCCAAAAACAAAAGAACACGGATTTGAATACACACTCGGCAGTCATGCTTAATGACATTTTACGCGAGTTTTATACCTCGGTTCAGTCCACTAAGCCTGGGTGAGTACAAAACTTTCACCAAAAGTTGTCGAATCCGGTCGGTTTTAATGCACTTCGCGGAGGCAGACAACATTATTTATTTAACTGATAATTAGCCGTGTAATAAGTGGGATGATGTATAATGAGCCGGTGAATACTGGGAAAATAACTCCCCTTTTATTCCCCTGTCGGGAGTTATTTTCCCAGTATTCACCGGCTCATTATACATTATCCCTTACTTAACGTCACTTTTTGCTAATATTGAGCTAATCAAACCCTACAGTATTCATGGTGAAAAACGTAGGCACCTGAATAAACTGTTTATAATCAAGTCAAAATTTACATATATGTAATGATGGAGAATTTCGGCAAGCCTTTATTTAATAAATGCTGCCACAAAATAAATGATATATTACGTAACATCAATATTTCCTACAGCACTTTGAGTTGCACCCCTTGTATAAAAAGTGCTCTATAAATAATGTTTATTATTACTATATGTTTTGCTGCTACCCCTATGTCCACACTACATTGCCTAGCTTTTCTGTTGGTATTGCTGCTGCTTCTCCAAACTGGGGGCGTGCAAACCGCATCTACTGTATGTAATACACTGACTATGAATACAGTCCCACTTCAAAAAAGCCGTACTATCCCTTTAATGGAAGAGCGATTCCTTACTGGGTTGTTTCTCCAGAAACTCCTGGAACTTGCTCCTCTCGTACTCAACCGATTGTTGCATCAGATGAGGCCTGATGCTGGTCAGGGCAAAGTTCGCCATGTCCACCTTCATCAGGTCCAGCACAGAAAATATTGCCCTAGGAGGAAGGACAAGAGAGGAAGACAGTGACAGAAACAGAGAATTAAATGTCATGAAATTCTATCCTCTCACAATGTCCTGTGGAGGTTTGACATTCCAGGTCCAACTACATTTGGGGACCTGCTATGATAACGTCACTCCAGAACAAGCTGGTTTCTGCTCTGTAATGGACTGGAATTAAATTACACAATCTAAAAATAAACTAAGGCTTGGAGCACGCAGAACTATTAATGGTCTTGTCTCTTGGCTTACTTGAGCAGAGGCACAATATCGGTGATCTCCTTTAGCTTATTGATATCCTCATCTCTGCAGGGGGCGCACAGCGAGCCCATCATCCCTACGATGAACTGGGACAGCTGATTGATGTCGAGTGCGCCGTTCTCCGCCTGCTGCTGGATTAGAGGCAGATCCAGAACTTCCTCAATACGGGAGCGCAGACGGCCGTGGCCCGGCAGCAAGAAAGACAGCAGTGTCTGGGTGAGCAGGGAAATGAGGGACGATTGAAGGAAGGCAAGATGGAAAGACGTATGTGAAGGATTAAAGGATGAAGGGATAGATATAATTGTTTGGTGGGGAAGGTGTGAAGCCATGACCTTCTCAAAATACAAACAACTGCGGGATCATATCTGTAGAGAAAAGGTGGCAGCTAAAATAAGACCTCACATATGCAGAGTTTTCCTGAATAACTTCTGCCTCACCTCTTTAATCTCAGCCAGCAGTTTGATGGAATGACCATAAGTTGGCGGATCCTCCTTCAACTGAGCTTCCAAACAATCCCAGAATGCTTTGTGCACAATCTCCTTAACTCTGCGCTCCAAACTGTACACGGGCACAGGAGGGACAGTTACTTTTACAGCAGGAAAGAGCTCAGGCAAAGACAAAGAATCAAAAGGACAGTCACTGTATACGATTAAACACTCACCTCCCTTCAGGAAGCTCCGCAGGTTTGACTTGAAAAGCATGGTTGACCATGATTTCATGAGCCAGAGCCATGTTGGTGACTCCTTTGGCTGTCTCCATCAGCTCCTCCACAGAGACAAACCTGGGGGGGCTGGCTGTGAGGGAAATCCATCTTTAAATGATTTGTTCCAACAGATTTACACATCAGAGAGTACTTTCCTCCGAAAGCTAGAAACCTGAACTTTCATATTGTTGCGATGAGGAAAAAAAGATAGATTTTTCACTGCCAACAAAGTGCATTTGGACTCATTTGCAAACAGAGTGCGTTATCTCTTACTTCCAAGTGGATTTAGTGTGACTGTCATGAAAGCAGGCACGCACCAACTACAAGATGTGTTAACCCCCTCAAGTGATTGTGCTGTCAGTGTATCCACAAAGCACTCTGCTCAGCATACCTGCCTTGAAGCAAAGTTTCTATTTCTTGTGCCTCAAGGATAATCCAATTTAAAACGAGCATGAACAAATTCCCACTCACAGTGTCATGTCTTTATCTGCTAAGTGTAATGCTATGCAAATGCAAAATCTGCAAAAACATCACAGCAGGAACTATCAGATCATGTAACACTGATAAGCTGTGCTCCAGGAGTAAGCGACCTATGGCAGATGTGCAACCATGGCCACAACCAGTCCCTCCAGGTTTTCATTGCGGTCTTAAATGCCTGATTTCATGGCAGCCTTTCTAAACTTGAATTATCGCCTTGTGGTTATATGCCACTGCCAACCAGTCAAGCTGCAGTTTACATTCATGTGTGTCCAAACCCATATAATATATGCAGTGAAGACTTTGAAGGACTAGGTGAAATGTTCCGTGAAATGGGGATGCCTCTCACACGTTTCAACCCGGCAGCAGAGACAATCAGTACAATCACTCAAGTTTCAGGATGAACACCCGAGATTACTATCACCAATTTAGTATCTAACAAAATGTCTCCCCTTCTGTTCTTGAGTTGTAACACTGAATAATGGCCAGAAAAGCGCAGAACACCTTGGCCTTTTGAGATATAAAATGTCATCATGTTGTCCTATTAAACAGTTGTGTGAAATTTTGTCATAATTAGCATATGAAATCTTAAATTATGGCCAAAAACACAGTGATCACAGTGACCTTTGACTATGGCTGCACAGTTAATCAAAATATGATCAAAACTGCAATATCCAAATCGAAGGAGCTGCAATTTTTTGATAAAGGTAAAATGTGTCACAACATACCATTATAAATAAAGTACTGTGGTGCTACAAAAATGCGCTTGCCTTAAAATCGTATTCTAGATGTGAGGGAACATGCTTGTTTGGTACAGATCCCAGCTAACTCATTTTTATTTCTTTGTGACAATGAAAAGCAAAAGTGACCATTCCCACTAAAACCGCAACTCATATCGCCAATGCAATATCTGTTCATCTGTTTGGTTTTTTTGCATATCCTGCAGCCTTAACTTTGACCAACAAAATCTAATCAGCTCACTCTTACTCTTGGACTCTTCAGTCCAAGTGGATGTTTGTGCCAAATTTGAAAAAATTCCCTCCTGGCATTCATGAGAAATTGTGTTTATGTGAATCGGATGGATGGATGGACAACTAGAAAACGTAATACCTCTGGTCTTGGCCGTCATTGGCAATGAGGCACTTAAATTATAATGCAGCTTACAATGTTTTTTGCAAATAAATTGTGGGGCAAGTGAAAAATGCAATTATAAGTTTTTGTATAATTTGTTAAAACTGCTCATACATCAACTTAGCCTAGGAGAGCCAAAGCTGATACCAGACCTTGTGGACAAGGATTCTCTTTTCAGAGGGTGTGCTGTGTACTGTATGTGGTTTGTCTGCCCAACATACTACAGTACATGCCAAACATCCTGTCTTAAGTCCATTAACTGTGATGTGTCTAGGTATAACAATCAAGCGACCACTCTCAAAACCATGGCAACTGCTAGAAATTATGCTATTGAGCCACATAATCACTTTACTGTAACAAAAAGCCATTTAGTGACAGTGAATATGTGAGAGTCAGCTACACACCACAGATGTGTGAGATCACAAAATCTGCATTTTTACACGTGTAGTGAAATGTAGCAGCATCACAGACACTGCAAACTGCTTTGCTGATAGCATTATGGTAGTTGTACATTTTGCCATACCACACCTATCCTTAACAGCTTTCAGGTTAGAGTTGAACATGCCGAGGTGATGACGAGACAGAAATCAAGATAAAGCCATTTTGTTCCAGAGTACAGACAGGATTATTTTCCAACCCCTGAAGCACTGTGCTTGTGAGGTTGGTATTTTCCCTCACAAGATCATGAATGTTTGTTCCCCTCCATACAAAAGAAGGCTTGTTTGTGATTCCATCTAAGCCTACATGTTTCTACTGATAAAGATCTGACGAAACTGAGGAACTGAGCTGGGAAGTCACAGTATGTGATAGGGAGCAGATGGATCCAAACTGGAGCCAAGAACTGGAAAGCTTTGCACCGCACGTCCAGGTCTAAATACACTGAGGCCATTTGCAACAGCAGGTTGAACGTCCTGGACCACAGCTGTCCTACATAAATTCTAGTGTTTATCCAGGATGCTTGGCACCTTGACAATATCTTTACAAGCAAATATTTAATTTCTTAATCTGATATGACTTTCTGTTAGAGTGTTTTTCCTCTATTCGTTGAAACTTGTGTAGCATTAGACACACATTATCCCTGTCTGTATTTGGGTTTGTTGCTCTGTGTGTAGCTGGAGTTCCCCTCTGAAATCTACCTGCTGCTCACCTTGAGGAGTGTTCCCCCTGTGTGGGCTCGGAGTATTTGCCCGGACCCTCTTCCTTACCGCCTCCTCAGGAGCATCCTGCGTCCTCTCCTCCTTTGACTCCTTTTCTCCTCCACCCTCATGGTGGTCTGCCTCCTTTGGCATGCTAAGGTCTGCAAGATAACAGATAAAGTTTAAAGTTGCACTCTGTAAAATGCTGAATGCGAGTGAAATGATCACAGTATATGTGTGTGACATTTGTGTCATATGTACTGTAATAGTTAAGTTAGTGATTATTCTAGCAAGACATGCAGCATTGTTAAATCAATAAAGGGCATCTGTAATGTGATGGGGTTTCATGTATAGTCCAAACTGAGGGAGCTGAAGAGGAGACATGCAGGTTTGTTGTTGTGATCTACAGATGATGACATCACCTAGACTAGGAGAGGAGGGGAGGGGAGGAGGAGTCAATGTGCCAGTGCGATGCTAAGCTGACTGAGGAGGTGAAGAGACAGAGGTAAACACAACAAAGCCTCATGCTACTGTGGCTGTCATCACTGTCCTGTCTGCAGTAACGTTACTAACCTTGTAGCCGGCAGCTCCGAGGAAAGACACGGGTTAGCTGTGAAGCTCAACTTATGTGCCGTTAGCTTTGGTCTCTCTGTCAACAACAACAACAACAACAAAGCCTTAACACACAGCTACGCCTTCATGACCTGGCCATAGCGGAATTATCACTATCACAGGTTTATTCACAACTTCACCACAGCCAGACACCGTCTTCAACACGAGGAAGGCTTTGTTTCATCCTGGGTAGCTCGAGCTTATTAACGTCGCAGCCTTCCTCTGACAAGGCGCCGCTAACCGAGCGACTCTTCCGGTATTGGGTGGGGCCAACATGACGTAGAAGTCGGGCCCACTCCCGCACACACACACACACACACACACACACACACACACACACACACACACACACACAATGAATGAGCTCTGATTTAGGATTCAAAAGACACCAAATTTGGCAAGAATGTCTTGACCGAGCTGATAAAAACTAATTAAACCAGAGATAGGACCAAGTTATTTGTTGAAAGACACAAGTCTTAAGGTTATGCACTTATGTCCCACATCAAAACTGACAAGTCCCAAGTCAACTCCCAAGTCCTAAACTCTGAGTTTCACGTCCTAAACAAGTCATTATGCACTCTGCACTAGATGTAATGCCATTTTAACATCAGAGTAATACATTTACAAACATCATGAATGCTTTTCAAAGTTTGTAATTACTCATTTTTGTATGTAGTTGTTGCGTCTCGAATCCTTGACCTGCACATTTTGAATTCTGCAGTTCTGGCTTTGCTGGCCATCAAGTAGTTTTTGTTCTCTAAGAATATTTTTGGTATCATTTTTTTTGGTATCATTTTTTTCCCAAATTGCACTCAGTAATTCAACATAAATTCTTCATGTTTCTCTCCTGCAACTTGGCTGGATGCTGTTAAACTGGTTGACACAAAGTGGATCTGTGGAGAACTCAGTGGCGTAAGGACGTTATGACGGGCCCCAGTGCACACTATTATGCATGTATTGTCTTGACAAAAACAAAACAAAAACAGAGACATCAACATACACATTACCCAGCAATTATCATTGTATATCTGACAAAAATATCAAAGAAAGTAAGAAAGTAATCATTTAGTTGAATAGATTTCATAGTATATTTATAGATTCTATAGCTTATTTAGAAAAAGCATATAATTTTATTTTAGATAGCTACTACTATTAAAAAAAAAGTTGGCACAGATGGGTTTGCCTTTTTGAGGATATATACAGTCAGGTCCATAATTATTTGGACAATGATACAGTTGTCGTCATTTTGGCTCTGTACAACACCACAATGGGTTTTAAATGAAACAATGAATACCTGCTTAAAGTGCAGACTCTCAGCTTTCATTTAAGGCTTTTTTCAAAAATGTAGTATGAACCGTGTAGGAATTACAACCATTTCTTCACACAGTCCCCCAACTTTAAGGGCTCATAAGTATTTGGACAAACTAACATAATCATCAGTTCAACAGTCAGTTTTAATACTTGGTTGCAAATCCTTTACAGTCAATGACTGCCTGAAGTGTTGGACCCATAGACATCATCAGATGCTGGGTTTCTTCCCTGGTGATGCTCTGCCAGCCCTTTACTGCAGCCGTCTGCACTTCCTGCTTGTGTTTTAGGTGTTTTGCCCTCAGTTTTGGCTTCAGCAAGAGAAATGCATGCTCAATTGGATTCAGGTCAGATGATATGACTTGGCCGTTGCACAACATTCCACTTCTTTGCCTTAAAAATGACTTTGGTTGCTTTTGCAATATGCTTCAGGTCAATGTCCATCTGCACTGTGAAGCATCGTCCAATGAGTTTTGAAGCATTTAGTTGAATCTGAGCAGATAATGGTGCCCCAAACACTTCAGCTTTCATCCTGCTGCTCTTGTAAGCAAGACAAGACTTCACTAGAATAAATACAGAGGGTTTATCACAAGATGCAAACCATTGGTTAGCCTTAAAAATGGAAGGCCAGATTAGAATTAGTCAAAAACCATCTAAAAAGCCTGTACAGTTGTGGAACAGCATACTATGGACAGATAAAACAAAGATCAACTACCAGAATGATGGGAAGACAAGAGAAGGAAGAAGGGAAGGAACTGCTCATGATCCAAAGCACACCACCTCATCAGTGAAGCATGGTGGAGGTACTGTTATGTCATGGCCATGTATGGCTGCCAGTGGAACTGGTTCTCTTGTATTTATTGATGATGTGACTGCTGACAAGAGCAGCAGGATGAAAGCTGAAGTGTTTGGGGCTACATTATCGGCTCAGATTCAACCAAGCGCTTCAAAACTCATTGGACGATGCTTCACAGTGCAGTTGGACATTGACCTGAAGCATATTGCAAAAGCAACCAAAGACATTTTTAAGGCAAAGAAGTGGAATGTTGTGCAAAGGCCAAGTCATATCATCTGACCTGAATCCAAATGAGCATGTGTTTCTCTTGCTGAAGCCAAAACTGAGGGCAAAACACCCAAAACACAAGCAGGAAGTGCAGACGGCTGCAGTAAAGGGCTGGGAGAGCATCACCAGGGAAGAAGCCCAGCATCTGATGATGCCTATGTGTCCAACACTTCAGGCAGTCATTGACTGTAAAGGATTTGCAACCAAGTATTAAAACTGACTGTTTAATTGATGATTATGTTAGTTTGTCCAAATACTTATGAGCCCTTAAAGTTGGGGGACTGTGTGAAGAAATGGTTGTAATTCCTACACGGTTCATACTACAACTGTATCATTGTCCAAATAATTATGGACCTGACTGTATATATATAGCAAATGGCACTTTTTTTTTTAAATTAATGATAATGTGTTTTCAGTTATTTATCTTTGAACACAAGTATATTTCCAAGGTGGCAATTTGAATCACTTGCAAGGGCCTGCTCTCTCTAAGGGCCCCTCCACCCCAGGGGCCCCAGTGCAATTGCACTGCCTGCACTGTCTACATTTACGCCCCTGGGAGGACTTGCTGGGAATGAATAGCGTTAATGTTAGTTGCTTCAAGAAATGAAGGGAAATGAATTAATTCATGGCACACTTTAAATAACTCTCCTTCATCTTTGGGCGTGAGGGAAATGATCAAGTATTTGCAAAAGGCTCAAGTCCAAGTGAAGTCATGAATCATTGGTGTTAAATTCCAAGTTGAGTTGCAAATCTTTTTTGATTTTGTGATGACAAGTCTAAAGTCATAAAATTTGTGACTCAAGTCTGAGTCATGTGACTGGAGTCCACACCTCTGGAAATTTGTTTCACGAGTCACTTTCAAATTTAGGTGTGTTTTTAAAGTGGTGCATGTCTACATCTCTGCCGTAGGAGCCCAACAAGTTCCAAAGGATCATATCTAAAAGAATCTTTATGAAATTGTGTTGAGGAGATCTAAAGGTAATGTCCAATTCAAATTAAATGTGGTTGTAACTAAAGTTTGCATATTTGATCAAATAACCCAACTTTTAGCAATATTGCACTTAAAATTTCATGAATTCATCAAAAATCCACAGGAAGTCCAAGAGAATTCGATGGAAACAACACTTCTGCAAGAAGACACTTTATTTGCTTCACTGTAACCTACAGTCAGTGAAGTCCATCAATCCATAGTAATTTATAGTTTTTTTGCTACACAAATTAATTAATATACACAAATACGGGGTTTGGGCACATCAGGATAGACAATACACATCATGTCTACAGACCGAGAACATATGAATACTCAAGAAGACGCCTTTTTGTTGTAGCACGTAATGGACTTACTTGGACAGTCTACCACTTTCACAGATGAGCTCTCCTCACTTCTGTTCCATTTATTTTGCATTAATCCTCTCGCCCACAAAAAACATACATGTTCAAGCTTAATCAGAGGATTGTCCTATTTCAGTTCTAAATTTATATTCAAGAAAAAAAACATGGTCAAGAATATGTTAAGTTTATTTATTTTGCACAATATAAAAGCAAATACACACATACAAGGGCAATCACATGCTGGCGGAATCTATACAACCTCCACTAAGATTTAATGTTCATCACAAATATGTATTTTAAGTGAGTTAGCTCACACACCTACAGCACATTAACAGCAGATTCACCAAAGTACTGGTTGAATATCTCTGGATGGGCTTGATAAAACTGCCTGAGGAGGCGTTTTCTCTCCTTAGCAGAGACCTTGGTGTCCAGGTGGATGCTCCTTAGCAGAGCCCACAGTTCCTGGTTGGTGGTCTTCTTTGTAGAGTCAGCAAAAGTCCTGCTGGGGACCTGCTGACAGAACGTAGAGCCTGAAGGAAAGAACAGAAAAACAGTGTTAACAGTAATCAACATGTATTATATTATTAGTTTTAGTTAGTTTCTAATGTGATGAGGACACACAAGGCCACAATGATTTAATACCTGATGGCTGAGTGGAGCCAAAACCTCACAGATGTGAACTGTTAGTTTGTCTCTGAGCTGCTCCAGGTTATAAAGCTGTCATGTTGATTTGAATGAGAGCTTATGGTGCAAAGTATTTTTTAATGGATGCCATGTCTGACTTGCAGTGAAATCTGCAGCTGTACAGCAACAGATCCAACCCAGTGAGATGGTAAGATGTTTACCCATCTATTCTGACTTTTAAAGCAGAGTGATGATCTTTGTATTATCAAAGTGTGTTTGCGTTGGACACTGCTGTTAGATTAATACTCATGAACAGTCATTTACCAGTCACATCAGGCTGCTTCTCGTGTGCAAGGCTGGCCAGCTTGTCACTCACTCCTTTGTGCAGAGCCCCTGGTATCTGGAGCAAAGAGAATAAAGTCTTGGTGGCAAATAATTTAATGGCAGAAAATGGTTTGTTGCTGGAATGACACCAAACTGGCAGTCATTTCTGCTCAAGTTCCCACTTATTGGTTTCACTGAATGACTTACACAAATGTCTGTGACAGCATTTTCGAAACGGTGTTTTGCAACTTGATTTGAGCAATTTGTTTACGCAACAGTGAGTTACAGCATCGATAAATGTCAGAGCTCAAACAAACAAAGTAAATCCTGGGTTGACATTTTGAAAACAAATTGTCAGGGTCAGACTCTTGTTTGCTGTTTGAGAAGGAGTTCGTCAGATTTTTTACTAGCCTAGGTTTCATAAGAGGTAACACCTGAGGTGTGGTCTTTATTTTATCTGAAAGGTATGGGCATTACTGTTGTATAATGTGGTGCTACAAATTTGTGACAGGGATCTTTTTTTGCACATTGTGGGTGTGAACAAAAGACAGAACATGATAAAAAATGACACTCATTATGGGACATTTAGGATCCAGTCAGTATGTTCACATGACATTAGAGAAAATGGATTTATTGTGTTAGTCCGACTAAAACCAGACTTTTAAAATACATGAATGGGAGAAAAATATGGAATGGGGACCTGTTCAAAAAAGTGGTGGAACAGCTGGACGACACTCATTTGTTTGGTCTGTGATGTAATAGGTCAACCAGAAAAATGTACAATACTAACAACCTGAAAGGGGTGATATCACCACCTATAGCGGAGTCGGACACACCTCAGTGAATAAATCGATTACCTTCCCGTTCTTCTATACTAAGACAAGGACAGTAGACAAATTAAATGACCTAGTGAGTGTTTTTAGAGTTTGACCCATACACAGCATACAAGCAGGGCCGTACGCAGGATTTTTGAAATACTGAGGTCATTTAGTCGTGGTGCACGTCGGGGGGGTCAGAAATTTTTGTCAATTATATATCAAAAGCCTTCAATCTGGTGTACTTTGACAGCCAAATTAAGAGGCTACATATATAAAGAACTACACACATCATATTAGATTAATCCCATCTTATCATGTTTCTCTTCCCACTTCATACTATAGCGTAATTGCCTTTCACCAAACTTTGTTTGTGGGTATTTATAATTATGTTTGAGCCACTTATTCTTTAGCAGGAAGTACTTCTTTTCATCTGTCAGTTGTCAGTTATATTAATTTTTATATCAATGAAAAAAACAAATCTGTGTTACTAAATTCTTACATTTTTACATGTATCTCACCATAGCAAGTTGGAAGTTGACATATTCTGCCATATATGAAGAGGGGAGACTCTCTGGAATCTGGCAATATAAGAACCATGATGCTGGGACATTCTGTCACTTCACAGCTGTCCAAAACATGTGGTTTGTGCCAGGCGGACATGATTGCCAGTATTTTTTCATTATTGCAAGAAATTCCATTGACTCATTCACAAGTCAAAAAT